TCTCTCTCTCTCTCTCTCTCTCTCTCTCTCTCTCTCTCTCTCTCTCTTTCTCTCTCTCTCTCTCTCTCTGTCTTGTTCTCTTCCATACAGAAGACCTGGTTTAAAACTTACTCAATTTTCTTTGGTCATTTTTATTACTGTATGACCAATCATTAAGAGGATTCCCTCTAATCGTTTAGTTTGGTGGCAGCCGGATAGAAATGAGAAAGAGCAAAAGATAGGGAAACGAACGCAGCAAGTGTTGTGTCTTTACTGGTTGGGCACCACTGTGACCAAACTCTACCGCATTGAGATTGGAATAGCGAACCTAGATTCCGTACTCGTGATTCCTACCTGCTCGACTATCTAAGCGAAATGTTCGTAGGTCGGCACTTTGGAATCATCGCAAAAACTGCCCTTAGAAAATAAGGAAACTTTTCCTGTAACTCGAAGCAGATGAAATCGTCCGTACATTTTGGAATCGAGAGAAACACTCTAAAAATGCGACCAACATCTTGGGCCAACTTTTTTAATACAGTAACTTTCAGGTAAAAAATATCGCTCGTCTCTCCTCTGCTGCGCTATAAACCTTGCTTGAATGTCAGAGCTCTGTGTTATCATATTCTCAAATTATCTTCCTTTTCTTAATTTAAACACGCTTTCTTCGCGCTTTTCCTCAGCATAGTCATTGATTGAGAGCAGCAAACGAAAAAGGCTCATTTCTAAGAAAAGTAGCTGGTTTCATGCTATATAGAAATGTGAACCTGATTATTTTCTCTCTCTTCATTCTGCTTTTCTATTTATCTTTTTTTTTCTATCTATACATCTCTCTAACTCTCTCTCTCTCTCTTTCTCTATACGTCCTTCTTTCCCTTTTCCCTTTAAACATTTCTTTCTTTACCTAGCATAAGATTACTTATTACACTGGATTTAAAGTATGTCGAATTGCGTTAGCGTATAATCAAAACTATATAAAATTGTTGTGTATATTTGTTTTTAATCTAAATGTTTTGCCAATTATCAATTATCAATATAGAATTTTACTTAGTGAAATAAAATAAAGCAAGAAACAAGATATATTTCAAAAGAAAAAAAAGACTTGTTTGTCTTAAACTGAATCTTTCAATATCTATCCTTCGATCGGCAAATGTATAATACTATACATCCTCCAGGTTGGGGCCGGCCGCAGCGCAACCATCTTTCTACTCTTTCTTCTTCTTCTGAAGCATTACTTTCGTTATACATTTAAAAGCAACATCTCCTGTGTGACATTTCAAAAAAAATCCTTAGTTTAAATTTTTGATTGCTAGATGTACTGATGATATGTTCTGGCATATTATGTCATGAAAATATTACAAAATATTACAAAATAATTATCCAAAATAAAAACAGCCTTTATTTATTCCATATTATTTAAACGTACAGGTACCGCGTAGTCAAGCAGTTGAGAAGTCCTACTATCGAGTTGGTAGAAATTAGTTAAACACTCAATGCACTTGAACATGTTTCAATAACGATTGGTGTGCAGTTGTAACTCAGGTGTATGCTCGGTCGGTAAAGATCGGACCACACCTCTTTCTGGTCACTACCATTCCGATCAACGGAATCCCTATCTTAAAGAAATCATCAAGGATATCAGAAGTCGTCTGCGTGTAGACTTTTCTACTAAGAATTCAGCTGCTATGGAGGCTCAAGGTTTAGTAAAAAGACCTGTGTGTTATTAAGGGTGCCAGGGAAGTAGTAATGTGCATTGGTGCCTGTCTACATTGGGTTGATATTTGCTCCTTATACATTAAAATCAAGTGGGAATTACTTGAATGACATCCAGGAAGTATATATAATCCCATAGCATGGACATGCTTAAATATGACAGGCGTAATGCCAACTTAAAGCATTATAGACTAAAACTATGGTTTCAAGGGGGTCAAATTTCCTTCTTACAAACATTACAAACGCCCAGCCATGATCTTAAGCAAAAGTGATAGCGCTGCGAATACTTCGGATGAGCCAGTATGTGAGGGCTATCTACTACGTGCAACTCTTCAAGGAATATTCGCGATGGTTGTACCCCAATTGCGGAGCATGAAATATTGAGGGGTGCAGGTAGGCCTGGCATTACGCAGACGAGAGGGTTTCATATCTGGTACACCAGTGTTGGAATACGTCCTCTCCCTTGGAGGATTGCCGTAGAAGCATGGCGCCGGCAAGGCAGACGCAGACGTTGAAACGAGTTATCTCCTGAATGATTGATCATAAAGAGAAAAGAAAAAAATTCACAATTCCACCGTAACCGCTAAGTGGAGAGCCCGACAATAGTTATGGCAAAAGTTGGGAAAAAAACAACTCAGCAAGTCGTAATTTTGATACGACGTGATTTGGCCTAGGGATTGGCGGGGACGGAATCTCGCATTCCCATCACTATGCTTTTCGGAATGTACAAAATAGTCTTAAACATTCTGTCTTATTTGCCTTATATGATAAATAAGCAAAAGACAAGGGTGTGAAAATAAATTCGAATTTAACTAGCAAAGCCACCTACCATTTCTAATAAGAAAACTCTGCTAACGACTTAACACAGCTCTCTTAAATAATTACAATTAAGCTATATTTGGATTTGAAAGCCTACTCCTTCCATATTAAAAAAAGAATAATATTTTTGTGGAAATTTCCTGAATCTATACGAAAATACCTTCCAAACAAACTAGTCCGGTCAAACCAGAAAACGTCACCTACATTCACCTATATCACGTGAATCTTTATAAAAGTACATGTCGAATAAGCAAAAATAGTTCAAACTTTTCTTTAGGCAACTATTTTTAACGATCATTTTAAATATGGTATGTTAGCGAAAAGGGATGTGAGTATAGTATAGTATAATACTAGTACTAATATAGCCCAATATATTCTAGTACAAAATACACTATACTGCAGTACAAAATATTTTATACTGTAGTACAATATATTCTAGTACAAAATGCACTATACTGTAGTACAAAAATTTTCAGTACAAAACGCACTATACTGTAGTACAAAAATTTTCAGTACAAAATGCACTATACTGTACTACACTACAGTATACTACACTACAGTATAGTAAATTCTAGTACAAAATGCACTATACTGAAGTACAAAAATTTTCAGTACAAAAAGCACTATACCGCAGTACAAAAATTTTCAGTACAAAATGCACAATACTGTACAACACTGTAGTATAGTAAATTCTAGTACAAAATGCACTATACTGTAGTACAAAAATTTTCAGTACAAAATGCACTTTACTGTAGTACAAGAATTTTCAGTACAAGATGCACTATACTGTTGTACAAAAATTCTCGGTACAAAATTCGCTATACTGTAGTACAAAAATTTTCAGTACAATGCAAATGCACAATATTGTAGTGCGCTGTAGTATAGTAAATAGTGTGGAACAAAAATTTTCAATACAAAATGCACTATACTGTTGTACAAAAATTTTCAGTACTAAATTCACTATACTGGAGTACACTTTAGTATAGTAAATTCTAGTACAAAATGCACTATACTGTAGTACAAAAATTTTCAGTACAAAATGCACTGTACAGTAGTACAAAAATTTTCAATACAAAATGCACTATGCTGTAGTACAAAAATTCTCGGTACAAAGTTCGCCATACTGTAACACAAAAATTTTCAGTACAATGCAAATGCACAATACTGTAGTGCGCTGTAGTATAGTAAATTCTAGTACAAAATGCACTATACTGTAGAACAAAAATTTTCAATACAAAATGCACAGTACTGTACTACACTATGGTATAGTAAATTCTAGTACAAAATGCGCTATACTGTAGTACAAAAATTTTCAGTACAAAATGCACTATACTGTAGTACAAAAATTTTCAGTACAAGATGCACTATACTGTAGTACAAAAATTCCCGGTACAAAATTTGCTATACTGTAGTACAAAAAATTTTAGTACAATGCAAATGCACAATACTGTAGTACGCTGTGGTATAGTAAATTCACATTTCATAGTACAAAATGCACTATACTGCAGTACAAAAACTTTCAGTACGAAATGCACTATACTGTAGTACAAAAATTTTCAGTACTAAATTCACTATACTGTAGTAAACTGTAGTATAGTAAATTCTAGTACAAAATGCACTATATTGGAGTACAAATATTTTCAGTACAAAATGCACTATACTGTAGTACAAAAATTTTCCGTACTGAATTCACTATACTATAGTACAGTGTAGTATGGCAAATTCTAGTACAAATTACACTACCCTGTAGTGCAAAGATTTTCAGTACAAAATGCACAATACTGTAGTACAAAAATTTTCAGTACAATATACACTATACTGTAGTACAAAAATTTTCAGTACAAAATGCACTATACTGTAGTACAAAAATTTTCAGTACTATAGTGTAGTACAGTATAGTGTATTTTGTACTAGAATTTACTATATTTACTGACTATACTATAGTCACATTTTTCACTAACATACCTTATTTCGAAAGATCGTTAAAAATTGTTTCCGAAAGAAAAGTTGGAATTACTTTTGCTTATTCGACATGTACTTTTATAAAGATTCACGTGATATAGGTAAATGTAGGTGACATTTTCTGGTTTGACCGCACTATTTCTCTATCTCAAATTTGGGTGTCCTTGCATAGGCATTTTTCGCTCATATACTAAGTTTCAAAAAATTGCTAAAAATAGTTCCCATAAGCAGAATTTGAATTTGTGTGTTTTGTTTGGAAGGTATTTTTGTATAGATTCACGAAATGTCCACAAAAATATTTTCCTTTTTTTAATATGGACGAAGTAGGCTTTCAAATCCGATTATACCTTCATGGTAATTATTCACTGGAGCTCTCTTAAGGCGTTAGCATAGTTTTTTAACAGATATGGTAAGTGTCTTTGCTAGTTAAATTCGAATTAATCTACACACCCCTGCAAAAGATCTGAAAAAATTGAAAAAAAAGTTAATTTTAATCATTTGTAACTTTGTGTGGGCATGGCCGATTTTTTCCACTTGCGCACGCAAAAGGTAAAGTGCTTCATAAAGTAAATGTGGAATATTTCAGCTTTTTAATTTTTAAAATATCTTAGTAACCCACAAATTTTTGTTAGGAAAAGTGGAGTTTCGTTCAGTTTATGTTCCACTTAGAGCTTCCGCTTTGACCGATTTCGCCCATTTTTGCTGCCACCCTCGTGCAAAATTTTGCAATGTGTCTATAAAAATTTGAAACCGTTATCTTCATTGTTTCAACCAAAAGAGTGCAACGAAAACCGCAGTGACAGACGGACATGGTTTAAGCTTTTCAAAATATCATGCTAATCAAGAATATATACCCTTTTTAGAGTCTCTGAAGTTTCCTTTTTTGGTGTTACATACATTATAGAAAAAAGACAAAATGGTGGTAAGTATAAAACTAAAATGGCATAAAATTCATGCTTTAAATACAAAGCTTGGTTTTCGTAAGGCAATGTCATCTTTTATTATTGATTTTGAAACAATCTGATGTTTAAACCCACAGGGACTCTCCATATTATTCTTCATCATTAATTTTACCCGATAGCCAGTAATCAAAAAAAAAAAAAGAAAGTCACATTAATTACTAGTTCGCCTTACTTCTCTCAAAAACCGAAAATAAATTTTTGCAACATTTTCCCAATGGAAAATGAAAAATTCCCTACTTTTTTACGAAATAACCGAAAATATTCTCAATTTCTTTTACCAAACGCAAGCAAAGCAAGCATCCCATGTGGCAAGGCATTCTTAAGTTCGAAATCGACGAAAATTGGATCAGTTCTGTCGTGATCGTTGGTGTGTGTAAGAAACGGATATAAAAAATTAAATAAAATAAAAAACATATGCGTATCGTATACAAAGGTAATGAAAAATTTTTCAAAATATTTTTAAAAAAGCGATGCCATCAAATCATATATCAAAACTGGGTCAACGGGAAATTGAATGGAGTAATCAAAATAATTTCAATGGCATGAATTACAATGAAATGAATTAAAATTAGATATATGTGAAGCTGTGTGTGTGTTGAAAAAAAAAGGAATTTTTTTTTCAAAATAAAAATAACTTACAAGTTCGGTACATATATGTATAAATAAATGTTTACGTAGTATAAGCCCCCAAAAATAATGAAAATTGAAGTGAAAGTTTCTGTTAAGTAAGAAAAAAAGGAAAGAAGGGGAAGATAATTTCATAAATAATAATAAAAATATGATATTTTTATTAAAATATTATATCACATCTGAAGAAAACATTTTTTAAAGTTTACTTCGCTTCACCCACATCGGAGGTCTTTCTCTCGCGCTCTCTCTCTCTCTCTATCTCTCTCTCTCTCTCTCTCTCTCTCTGTCTTTCTCTCTTTGTTTATTTCTGCAACTTTCTTCCCTCAACCTTTCCCTTTCACGAGTTATTTTCCTTATTCCCTCACTCTTCTCTCACTCTATCACTCTGCCTCGTTCTTTCAACCTGCATATCTGCTGATTGCTGTGTACAAATTGCTCTCCTTATAGCTTTGTAATTGCAAATGCACTTCAGCTGATGTGTTTTATTGAAATTATTTGTTGTCATTATTGTTATTGTTTAGCTATTCGTTCGATAGCACTTGTATGAATTTGTAACGTGCTGGCGTCGGTGTTTCTTCCACATTGTTGTCTTTTAATATATATATATATATATATATATATATTCTAAGTACGGTAAACAGCATGTTTAGCGCGTACATCGAATAGACGGCTAAATTTAGAATATTTCGTTTGCCTGGTTAATGATACGGTTTAATACTTATTAAAAATTTCAAATAATACAAATATTTAATAAATTTGGAAAATAAAGTATCATTAAGAAAAAGTTTGTGATAGGATTTTATAGCCGGTATGTTCAAAAAATTCTTGCTTGCATCTGGCAAAAATTGAATCACCAAAAAAAAAAAAAAACAAAAAAAAATAATGTGCGACAATTTCCTTTACCTGCAATAAAAATTATGTTGAAAAATTGACTCATCGGAAGAAACGAGAATTTTCTTACTGAAAAATTCAAATAAAAAAAATTAAATTAAGGTTACAATAAAAAACAGTGAAGGGACTCTCGCAAATATCTATTTGCAAGCTTGTGTGAAAAAGGAAAAATCGTGAAGTTTTCTCCTTTTTTCTTTTTGATGTAGACATCTCTATAAAACGTTTAAAGCCATTTTAACAATGCCCAGGCTCAACCATTCCATTTTAGTTTTTTGATAATTCGAGTTCTTATCCATTTTCTGTTATCTGCATTCAATTATCTAGAATTTATTGTTCGATTTCCATTCGAATTTTTGTCGTTTTCGTTTTATCCCGTATATGTTAATCCTCGAATAATTTGTAATAATTAATTTTGTAGGTTTAGTCGAACTTATCTGTGATAGATTATCCCTTTTTCTATTCGTTATCTTTAAAGCTATTTCTTATTTAATATTAAAAGTTCGTTATGCGATCTATTCCGTAATTACTTTTCATTATTGTTTTTATGCATTATTGGCTTTCTTTTTTCAATAATCTATTATCTATTACATGTCAGTATATATATCAGATTATTATTATTATTATCCATTATCTGCTATCTAAATTATATCATTTATTATATTGCATATTAACTATTACCCTTTATCTTTTATCTATCATCTATTATATCACATATTATCTATTATCCATTATCTACTATCTATTATATATCGCGTTATATATTATCTATTATACTTTGTGTTACCTATTATCTAGACTATTCATTATCATTACAATTATCTATTATCTTTTATTAAATATTACAACTTTTTCATTACATGAGTATCGTATCATCCGTATCTGTTATCCTTTATCAAACATTCAAGGCTTATGAATGTATGAATAAAAGCGTTCAATAAAACTGAGAAGACGTCTTTTTTATTCACTATTCCCAGTCAAAAGTTTACTATTTATTCTAGAATATCCATTAAGACTTATTTATACAATATTCAACATTCATTGTCAGATGTCTGTTAGAGGTTCATCCTTCCTTTCTCAGTCATCTCAAAGTATTAATGGGACTTATCCGTGGTATTTTAAGGGCATATTTTTCATGTGCGTATTTATGAGAAAGCAGGACCAAAACGCCACCTAATATACTGCATAGGACTGGATCCAAAAGTAGACGTAGATGGTCAAAATTTTCTAGAGTTCATTTTTGTATGAAATTACGATGACATCTTAGGTCAATTTTCATCACTACATATTAAAACTTAGACTTCTTTAATCTATAAAGGATCAAGTTTCGTGAAAATCTTTATTAAGTTAGGCTCTAAAAGATAGGCGAATCTAAATTTCGTACAGTTGATTTTTGTATGCTAATTAAATTTTGAAAATTGGAATTTTTTTCCATATAATGACTTTTCAGAATAGGGCTGTTATACGGGGAGTGGTCGAAATACTGAACCGATCTGAACCATTTCCAATAGCGTTTGCCTAGGGTCAAAATACGGCACTAAATTTCATGAAAATATCTCAAAAATTGCGATCTGCAGCTTAAACACAAATCTACATGGACAGACGGACAGACAGGCTTAGATCAGTTTAGTTATAAAAGGCCTAAGCCGGTAAGCAGTCACTACTTCTAAATCATTAGTACCGACTGACGAGAAGTAATTCATTCATATTACAGCACTGCACCTAGATGACTGTCTTGTTTCATTTCATTTTCGTTTTAATTCAACCCTTTGCAGACATTTGAAACCGTTTCTAAGAGCAGGCAAGGATTTTGAAAAACCTGCTCACCGCCACACGATCACCACTCACTTATGTTCGAAGTCAAAAATATTTGTAAAATAATATATGGATAAAAATAATAAATGCTGACGAGAGCTGCTACAACGATCGTATCGTTACTTAAAATTACTGTGTCTGTGAAACACTAATATTACAAGCAAAGCTTAGAGGCTGCCATTACATGCAACAAGTGTTCGTGTTTATATCGTCCTTAAATCTCTTGGAAATTTTATAATTCTTTTGTAACAATAAATCGAAAATTTCGAGTGGATATCAAAATGGCCGAAAAGCGAATTAGTTAACTGCAATAAATACAAGTTTAGATGACACTGCCTATAAACAAAGATACCACGAGCAACGAAACTAATCAACACTTCATAAGAAGAAAAAATTTAAAGCCATTAGTTAAAATTAATTTTATTGCGGTCGCATCATGAAACCTGGCGACCCCATTCCCAATGGTATATCGCCTAGCCCCAGCGGGGATCACGAAGCCGATTATCAATACCCCAACAATAATGATCCAAACGTTAGATATGGTACGTCTTGATATACCACACATCTTCCTACAAACAGATTATTCATAAATCTACCCGTTTTCACCTGTTTTCCATAGGTGGTGAGACACCCAACATTCCTGAGACAGTTAATGGGACCGTAGCAGGTGGAGGTGCTGGTGCTGGTGCTGCGGCAGCTGGTGGTGGCGGAAATCATCAAAAGACAACCTCGCAAAAGCATAAACCACGCGGCAATAAACAACCGGACAGACCAGAACGCGCTTTATTTTGTCTGGGTCTTAAAAATCCACTGCGTGCTGTTTGTTTAAAAATCGTAGACTCAAAGTAAATCTCCCGAAAAAAGAGCTTTTCATACTTACATTACCGATATTGGTCTGACTTGAAAAGTAATGGATCTTTCTCTTAGAATACCTGTAACCTTCACGAAATCAGTAATTTATTAGGACTCCTGACTATCTGCTGTACATGAGGTCTCTGAAAAACCGGGCTTTAGTTCTCATAAAATTTAATATAAAAAGCTTTCCAAACAGTTCTAGTTTTGCAGAAAACTGCCAGTCTTATCTTCTTTTACATGTATTTTAAGTTACCGATTTATCTCTCCGTCCGTCCATTCATTTAATTCAGAAGTTTGCAATCCCAAGAATGCAACTAAAAAAAAGAAATTTAATACACAATTATGACTTCGTTGTACAGACAGGATGTACGTTAAAATGGACTTCAGTCGCGTATGTGTAGAGATAAAAAAGCTAAGAGCATCTTGATCTTTAAAAATGAAAGGTAAAGCACTATCTATCGCAATATAAATCAAAAGGCGTCGCCAAGGTTAACACGAATGTTCATAAGAGCTTAATATAAAAATAGTCCCCATTAGTCACTGATTACACAGTTTTGTTTTGGGAGTTAACCCTTAGCCTGTCCTTACCTAGTCCTAACCGAATCTTCGATTAGAGATACTCCTTTTGCCCGGTTTTACACGGAAGATCAATTCGGCAATTTGTGTGAAATTTCAATATGAGAAGATCTTAACCAATAAAAAAATATCTAATCTTTTCTTTTTTCTGTTATTTTTTTAGAATATTTGAGTATTTTATATTGTTAACTATATTTGCGAACTGCGTGGCTTTGGCAGTTTATACACCTTTTCCCGCTGGAGACTCCAACGATACTAATCAGTTTTTGGTAAATTCTCGATAAAGTTTATGCGTGTGTACGCAATACACACTAGGATTTAAGAAGCTTGTCTGTTCGTCTGCCCGTCTATCCGTCCGGTTTTGTTGTGTATAACTACTTGCGGTCCATCTTTATGGGTGCGTATGCAACACATAGAAGGACTTAAGAAGCTTGTCTGTCCGTCTGTGCGTCTTGTTTTCTTGTCTTTAACATCCTGCGGTCCAAGGTTGTACGAGCACAAACAACACCCAGAAGAACTTGAGAAAGACCTATCTTTTATTGTAGCGTTCGATTCAAAGTTACTTTCAGCAGTCTTATCTGTTTGTACGTCCATCTCTCTATTATGTCCCAAGGACAAACACTTCCGGTCGGACCACTGTTTCGACCATTTCCCATATAAAGCCTTACTTTGAAAAGCCATTATCTGAATATCTATATTAAGCGAAGTAATGTAGGGTATTTAGTGGTGGGCCGAGGCCCACTCCTGTGTTTTTTACTTGTCTTTTTACAGCTTGAATTTATTTTTCATTTACAGGAAAACATTGAATCAATTTTTATGGTGATTTTCACATCGGAATGTGCTATGAAAATAATTGCTTATGGCTTTTGCATGCACAATGGCTCGTATTTACGTAACACTTGGAATTTTCTGGATTTTTTCATAGTGGTTATTGGGTAAAATCAAATTTGTGAAGGACAAGCCTTAGCAGATGTTGTAATAAATGATTTTTTTATTCTTTTTATTACAAAAGCATACTGAGCTCCTCTCTGTCGACGTTAATGCAGGGCGTCGATGTTAAAGCCTTACGAGCATTTCGTGTAATGCGGCCATTGCGTTTGGTGTCGGGAGTGCCAAGTAAATTGACATTACCTTATGTATATATATATATATATATGTACATATTATATATTTTTCAATGTTTTCCAGGCTTACAGGTGGTGCTGAATTCTATTTTGCGAGCCATGATACCACTTTTTCACATCGCTCTCTTGGTGCTGTTTGTAATTATTATTTATGCAATTATAGGCTTGGAGTTGTTTAGCGGTAAACTAACCAAAACCTGCCGAAATATAGAAACTGGTAGGGAAACTTATACCCACTACTTCTTGTTTTATAGTTCTGCAAATCCATGTTTTTTTTTCTTTCAGGCGATTATTTAGCTGACGTAGACGAGGTTCATCCATGCGGAATAGGTTTTCAATGCCCTGAAGGTTTCGCCTGCTATGATGGCTGGATTGGTCCGCACTGGGGTATCACGAATTTTAACAATTTCGGTCTTTCCATGCTTACCGTATTTCAATGCATCACATTGGAAGGATGGACAGATGTCCTTTACGATATACAAGATGCCATGGGATCTTCTTGGCAATGGATTTATTTTGTTTCTATGGTTATATTGGGTGCTTTTTTCGTTATGAATCTTATTCTTGGTGTACTGTCCGGTGAATTTTCTAAAGAACGTAATAAAGCGAAAAATCGTGGCGATTTTCAGAAATTACGTGAAAAACAACAAATCGAGGACGATCTTAAAGGTTATTTGGATTGGATAACGCAAGCCGAAGATATTGAGCCCGATACCGAAGGTCAATTAATTGCGGATACTAAGGGTACGACAGCCAACGAAATGGACTCCACCGAGCAATTGGGTGATCCAACCGAATTGCAAGTAACTGAATCATGGTTTGCTAAAAAAAAGAAAAGTTTCGATCGCGTTAATCGTCGCGTACGTAGGGCTTGTCGAAAAACTGTCAAATCTCAAGCCTTCTATTGGTTAATTATCATATTGGTATTCTTAAACACCGGCGTCTTGGCGACAGAACATCATGGCCAGCCAGTTTGGCTGGATGAATTTCAAGGTTTTTAAAAGCTTCTTTCTTCAAGTCCAAACTAAAACTTTTAATATATCTTTGCTTTTATTTCAGAATACACAAATATTTTCTTTATTGCCTTATTTACCTGTGAGATGATCTTGAAAATGTATAGCTTGGGCTTTCAAGGTTATTTTGTATCGCTGTTCAATCGATTCGATTGCTTTGTAGTTATCGGTAGTATTACGGAAATGGTTTTAACCGGCAGCGAAATAATGCCACCACTCGGTGTATCCGTGTTACGTTGTGTACGCTTGCTAAGAGTCTTCAAAGTGACAAAGTAAGTGAAGCGAATTCAAGAATGAAAAAATTAATTAATTTGAAGTTGAAATTGATCCAAACTTGACAAAGCAATCGCCTGCAACACCCAAACGTCTATGCAACAAAAGGTGGGAACACTGTTGCTTTCCGTGCTTATCACCTATTATTCGTATATTACAACAAATAATCGATAAAACTTTCCAATTTCATTTTAAAAGACCAAAGAGGTCTGCCATGTTCACCTAATATTCTAGATTATGGAAATCTAGCATTTTCGTGATTTCTTTAGGGTTTCTTAGGATAACGGTTATGGATATAAAAGATTCGGTCGCAGGCGAATATAATTTTCTCACTTGTTTGTCCTAATTGTTTCCTTGTTTTTCAAATTCAAACTTGCCCCAAAATGTCTTTAGGCTATGAACCTTCTTTAACTGAAGATACCTCACGAGAACGACTCCTGAAAAGGAATGCTTAATAATGTCCTTCAAATATTGTTATTCCAGTACTTTTCCTTCTATCAAAAAAGATGTACAGTAGACTTCTTTTTTATATGTCACTCGTCCGCAAATGTATACCTATTCAATGTGTGCAGATATGTGCCACAACCAGAACGATTTGGGATATGCCCCCGTTTATTTTACCTTTCTGAATCTATCTAAGTCTGTCCGTCCGTCCATCTCTCTGTCTTGTTTTCCTGTGTTCAACCTACCGGTCGCATTTTCGCAATTTTCGAGATATATTGATAAAATCCAACATGTTTTCGCCCAAAGACGAATGCAATTGAAAATGGTTCGGATCGGATCACTTTTTCGGCCACTTTTAACATAAGGTCTAATTTTGAAAAGTCGTTATATGAATAATTGCATTAAATGAAGTAATGTAGGGTATTTATTATTGGTAGATCCTGCCTACTGCTACAGTGTTTTTCCTTATCCCTTAGCCTCTTCATTAACTAAACAATATTTTATTTTTTGAAGATACTGGCGCTCATTGTCAAATCTGGTTGCTTCTCTACTAAATTCCATACAATCGATTGCTTCATTGCTGTTGCTATTGTTTCTATTCATTGTGATTTTCGCTCTATTGGGTATGCAATTATTTGGCGGTAAATTCACTACTATTAATAAGACCGAAGACAAGCCACGCTCGAATTTCGAAACGTTCCTCAATAGCTTATTAACGGTATTCCAGGTAAATATTAAAAGGTTCGATACCTTTCTCGCTATATATAGAAGATTTTTTTTAAATTTATTTTTACTAGATATTAACCGGTGAGGATTGGAATGCTGTCATGTATGATGGTATACGAGCACATGGTGGCGTATTTTCTTTCGGCATTTTGTTTTGCGTTTACTTTATTATACTTTTCATATGCGGTAATTATATATTATTGAATGTGTTCTTGGCCATTGCTGTCGATAATTTAGCCGATGCGGATTCATTGACAACTGTGGAGAAAGAAGAAGGCGAACCCGTCGATGAAGCAGAAATGAATAAATCTCATAGTCCCACACCGACATTAGAGGAAGATGACGAAATGGCTGATGATACACGCATTGATATGAGCGATCAGGAAATGAATGAGAATAAATTGTAAAAAGAAAAAAGATTTCTTCCATATTACAATTTAATATGATCTTATGATTATCGAAATGCATTTTATATTCTTACAGAGATGATGGGACTTTTTGTGAAGACGAAATGTTAGAGGGTGATCCCGAGTTATATGAGGAAGAACAAGATGGTAAGTGCCATTAGGAAATTATAAAACAAACAGTTTTCGTTTTAGTTTCACTTTCCTTATAGCAATAAGTTCGACTTAAGCCGAGACATTTAATAAAAACTCGATATTTAAATCAAATGCCACAAAGTTCAAGTGATTAATGCATATATATATTATAAAATATTTGGATTATATATTTTCTATACATATTCTCTAGAATATATTGAAAAATATATTTTTCGAGTAACTTTTCACATTCTACCTCCGCTCTTGTACATTGACGTAAGAACAATAGCGATCAGGCAAGGTGAACCCCACGCCAAATCGCCTAAGATAATTCTTCAATTATCTCCCTCATAATATAAGAAAAGTTATACTTATTATTAGACCATAGGCCGACGTGGTGCAAATTTAGCAAATTACATGGAAGAAGGTCAAAAACTTAGACTGACATGGTCGAAAATGTAGCAAAATTAGTTTCACTATCAGGGAATTTAATTACTCTTCACCCAATTTCGACATAAAGTACGAAAGTTTGGCGCTTACTGCCATAAACAGACTTGCCTTGCATGAATACTCTTAAGTGGAGTGGGCGCTGAAAAATAGACCTGCCTCGTTCAAAATTGATGCATGGAATTTTTATGAAAAATTGCTAAGTTCATAAAGAGATATTAAATATTGCATATATTCAACATGGGAACTCTTATTTGAGGGAGGAAAGAAAATAAAAGTAGACTTACGTAATCAAAATATTGCACAGTTAGATGCCTCTTACGGCTTCACTATGTTCACTATGAAATAATTAGAATTGAGTCTTTTTACCATTTAAAGGCTTACCTTTCGCAGAAATGCTTAAATAGAGGATGCAAAGAGAGGAAGGAGAGAAAGAGAGAGAGAGAGAGAGAGAGAGAGAGAGAGAGAGAGAAAAGAAGAGTGAGAGAAGAGTTTAATTGTTTAACATACTAGTCAAATGTAGTTGATTTATCGTTCGGTTTGTACAGTTCTCTTAAAAAAGGTACCTACTTGATAAAAGCAAGACTTGACTGCCCGCTCACAACCGAATTTAATTATATTCTACACCAGTTGCGTTTGTGTAACAACCAGAAGGGCTTAAGATAAACACTTCTTTTATTATACCGATCGATTTAGAAACGTTTTCTGCAATGATTTATGTAAGTCTATCCGTCTGCCTTTCTGATATCGCTTTACATATTTTTGTATTCAGCCCGCCGGTCACAAGTTTAGACATATTTTGAAAAAAATTGGTTATACTGACGTGTTTGGCTTAGAGGCATGCCCCTTACATAATGCGGCCGCATTCCTCATATAATGACTTATATTGAAAAAACTGTTATTTTTGAAAGAAAATTTCCGAATACTCATATATCGGCATGTTGATGTTAAAAATTTGGATTGCATGGTTCAATTTATTGCACACACGCCCACTCAACCCAGTTCCTAACAAAAGCAGGCTTTTAAGTGGAAAAAGGGTCTATTTATTAATGTAGTTCGAACTACTTCACGATAGTAGCTTAACATGAAAATCAATTAGGCCACGTAGGTCCGTTTTTCGTATAAGGATTTTCATAAAAATAAGGTTTTATACAATTGCTAACAACAAAGTGCAATGGATAAATAATATGCAAATTTGATCATGAAGATAATTGGAAAATTGGTGTAGAGTACTTACTGGTCGGCTTTGCCCGCCTATAATATTTGTACTTATTTTTAAATTTCTTACATCATTTTTAGATAATTTAGTTAATGTCTCGGCTAATTATTTAATAATTATTAATAATAGTTATTATTATGAAGTCCATCTCTATTTTATACGTATATCATAACAAAATTCAAATTTAATTCTTTCTTTCATGTTTCCCTCCCATAAAATTTTTTCAAACACTCATAAACCCGTCCCCCGTTACCTAAAACACTATGCAAATATATATTAAAAAAAAAATATATATATATATATATATATATATACTCACAATAAATCAGCAAGTATATACGATGATTCACCCCGAGTTACAGCACGTCCCCGTCGTCTCTCCGAAATGAGCTTTAAGAAGGTCACCAAGCCCATACCAAAAGGAAGTTCATTTTTTATATTTAGTCATACTAACAGGTAAACAACATACACTAAAACAGCGCATATGATAATTAAATCTAAAATCGAAACGCTTTCTAACAACATGAACGAATATTAATGTTTGGCTGGAGGTCCTTAGTTTAGATATTTATTATATTTATTAATAATTCTTAAATGTCTTTTTTTTCATTTTTTTTTTTTGTTTAATAATTTTAAGTAAGATAAACTTTTTTTGAATTTGAAATAAAACAAAGAAAAATTTTTGTATTTATTTTTCCAATTTAACGCGTAAACTGTGTGTGCCTAACAACTGTAGAATATGAAGGCGAAGGTATGGTTGGAGCCCGTCCCAGACGTATGTCTGATGTTAATACGGCGACTAAAATTCAGCCCATACCAGCTGGCTCATCTTTTTTCATTTTCTCTCAGACCAACAGGTTTCTGTTTACAATATTTTTATATATTATACACCTATATATGTCATGACCTCCGAGATAAGGACTCTGTGACGGTTAATATATAGCCTTAAACCTTATCCCAAGCGCGTGTTCATACTAAAGCTTGCTTGTTTCTTTTTTGTGTGTTTTCTATAATAATATCAAATAATAATCAATTATGTCAGATCAGTAAGTAAATTTTTTCCCCGATCATTTCCAAAGTCTGTTTAGTGAAGTAGTTTAACTCTGAAGCGCTTTTTTCATTGACAGCTGCTTGTTGGATGTAAAAAAATTGCTAACTAAATGTTTGTTATTTATTTTGAATAGATTTCGCGTGTTCTGTCATCGCTTGTGCAACCACAGCAGCTTCGGAAATTTCATCTTATGCTGCATTATGTTTTCATCGGCTATGTTAGCAGCTGAAGATCCTTTAAGAGCGGATTCAAGTAGAAATCAGGTAAGTCGCGGCATGTTCTATTCTGTACAAGATGCATTTTCGAAGGCAACAGTTGCCTTTTTTACAGCTACAAATATCACTTTTAAAAATAGAATCATAACACTCGACAGTAGCTCTACCTGCTTTCAAGACCTCTCCAAGCTATTAGCTTCAATATTACATTGGATATGATATCTTAACACCAAGTATAAAAAGTAAGTTCTACGGCGATCATAGATAGAACCAATACACACTACAACCAAACATAACTAGATTCTGTTGAAGAGCTTGTGCTTAACTCCATAAGCTCTCACCTTTCATTGTTATTATAATACTGTATCGTACTAAAGTAGATTAAGACCATTAATAATTGCAGGGTGTTAGGATTTTTTCGTTCTCTATGTAAAGGATAAAAATTTACCTTAGAGCCCTATGTAACTATGTAAAGAATGTATATATTTTCTCTCTCGAGCGAGATATGTTCACGAGTCATTCTATCCATCAAGTTACACTGTCTGAAAGAGACAAACATATTGATAGTAGCAGGTGTGAAGAACTTGCCATATCTATTCCTTATTGAGGTTGACAGATTAAGTCATTGCTTGCTACGGCGGAATGCTGGAATCTTTATTAATATCGAAAATTTTCTATTATTATATCCTACACGACTTCTGGTACAAGGGCATATTAAGCTTGTGCGCATGTATGCAATACCCAGAAATACGCTCACCTTATATTATACTGATCCAAGCTTGTCCCTCCGTCCGCCTGCCCATCTTGTTTCGTTGCGTTCTTCATGAAATTTGTTAGTTCGACATATCTTGGCCCAAGGACGAACATTATTAAGAATGGTTCGGTGGTGGTTGGTGGTTGCTCGAGAACTTCCAATGCAAAGCCTTATTTTGAAAGCTTGTTACATGAATAACTGCATTAAGCGAAGAGATGCAGAGTATTTAATGATGGGCCACATGTCCAACACATGTTTCATTATAGTGCTTCTGCTTATTATTAATTTAAAAGCGGTATTAATTTTTTTAGTCACAAAAGTAAATTCTACGTCTAAAGGTTAAAACACTAACATCATCTAAGGTTATCGGCTTTATTGGAAACTGTAGCGCACGACCCACGACCCACGACCATTTAGTTCTTAGTCGAGATTCTCTGCGTTCTCGACCACTCAGGCGAATACTAAATACGGTTAAATGAGACCTTTGTTAAAGGAAAAAGAAGGAAGTAAATGACATATCTTTGGTTTTCTGAAGGCAAATGCAAAAAGTAACATTGAATCGATCTAAGATTGTTTATCCACCTATCCGTCCGTCTGTCTGTCAGTCATATTTTCGTATGTTTAGCCTACAGCCAGAAAAATTTTTAAGATATATTGATAGAATTCGGTGTACCCCGTCAACTTGTGGCCCAACGACGAACGTTAGTGAAAATTATTTGGATCGGACCGCTATTTCGAACACTTTACCAGTAATACCTTATTCTGAAAAATCGTTATATAAATAAATCTACGGTGATTTACTTGCTTTATACGATCTTGACTTTTACTAAAGCAAATATCGATCCGATAACAGAACCAAGTTAATGGGAGATCATTTAAAACTTCAATAAAACACGCAAAGCTAATTAAGCGGAGGATTCCATTCAGGATCCAAAGTTTTTCATTCAGTGTATTATCACCAAAATTAATTTGTTTTTATTGTCATATGTCTGTCTCTTTATTTCTAGGTTTTAAATAAATTTGATTATTTTTTCACATCCGTTTTCACCATTGAATTGCTGCTTAAGTTGATATCCTACGGTTTTGTCCTGCATGACGGAGCCTTTTGTCGTTCGGCATTCAATTTATTGGATTTACTGGTCGTTTGCGTCAGTCTAATATCAATGGGATTCAAGTATTATAATAATTACGCATCGTATGTGAACATATTTATACATAATTATAAAATATTTCTTTTAGAGAGAGTGCGATTTCAGTTGTGAAGATCTTACGTGTTTTAAGAGTCTTAAGGCCATTACGTGCCATCAATCGTGCTAAAGGTTTAAAGGTATGTTTAATGTTTTACCAAACGCTACGCTTGTTTTCACCTTCAATGCTTGACTCGCTATGATGTTCTATATGCATATATTTATATATAATTTTCAGTGGATTTAACGGTGTTCTGCAAGACTAACAAAAAACAAAGAGAGAAACAACAAAAACAAAAAAAATTATGCTTGAAATCAAAATTTGAAAAAAAGCTTAACTAAAAACCTCTTCCGCTATCAAAACTATATAAAAAAAAAATTAAAAATCATTTTAAAGACACACATTATAATAAATTGCTCTAATAATTTATATTATTATTATTTATACGTATATATGTATACATATTATAGCATGTAGTTCAATGTGTAATTGTTGCTGTAAAAACTATTGGAAATATTGTGCTAGTGACATGCCTTCTGCAGTTCATGTTTGCCGTTATAGGAGTCCAATTATTTAAGGTATGATTTGAAAAGAGGTTAATAATTATATGTATTTCTAATAAGAATACACTCAAAACAAAAAAATTTAATACAAATTATATAGCTAAAATGGTCGGACAAAAATTCGACTATTGAGTAAATCTTACATCACTTCGTCCAATACAATAAATAGTTCAACTATCTTCGTCCTATCAAAAATTATATCATTTATTTGTAGTTCAATTAAATTTATTTTCAATTCAAATTCATTCTTGGACCGAAAGATGTCAAAATCTGTCAAGAAGTCTGTAAAATTGTCCGCAAAGATGGACGGATGGACAGAATTGTTTAAATCGATTCAGAAAATGATTCTGAATTGATGGATATTTAATAGTCAAAGAAGACCTTATTTTCACATAGCCATGCAGACAGAAGTGCTTCGAATTTTAATTAGTAGCTCAATTACATCTAGACAGACAAACAGGCAGACATGCTTAAACTAACTCATAAACGATTTAAGCTGAATTGCATATAGACAGACAGACGGACACAAATGTTTAAATGGGTTCTGAAAATGATTTTGAATCAATTATTGTAGTAAAAATAGAACTCATTTGGACTTTGCTTGACAGAGAGACAGACATTTCGATATTAATTCAGAAATGATTTGAATACTGATTAGTATAATAAAAGATAAGGTTCCAGGTTCCTTATTATCTGATAAATATGATAAACTTATCACATGATAAAGTCATGTAGGATATAAAAAGTATATTTAAATATATATATATAATGTTATATGTAATAAAACATAAACCTAAGTCTTGGCAAGACAAAAGAGTTCATTTCTTATCGAACGATACTTGATTCTCATGTACGTTGTTCACATAAGCAAAGCAATCCTTGAAAAGTTTCATTAACTTTAAATATTTTATAAGATTTCATTTGCCAATGTGTTTAATTATGCTTTGAAAATTTTAGATTTTACTTTTATACCCATTACCAAGAAAGATAGCATGCTTCCATTTATTTCAAAAAATGAACATACATTGTAATCAAATAAATACATATGGATATGTATATGGATATGTTTGACCATCCATCTATCTTGTATTAATATTTTCACTCCTATAGGACTGCCACATAGCTGAGTAGATAAGAATCAAGTCCGGTGCCCACGGGTTGAAATCTTAGTGCCGTTTGCTTGCAGCACACTCGATAGAGACATAACTCCTACCGATTCGACTTCCATCCAGCAGATTGCGACCATTGCCTCCCTAACTCAAGTCCTCTTCTTTTTCCACTTCTTGTTGACTATCACCGTATTACATAAACAGGGAACAACACCAATCCCGTAATCGGTCTACAAGACTCACAATATATCAAAATAACTTCTTTTTTTTGCTGTCGGAGTAACTTTTAATTGCTATGTAGTGATATATCCGGTAAGACCAAGATCCAAGAACACATTCCAATTAAGAGAAAGAAGAAAAGGTGATGGGTAGTGAAAAGTTTTTCTACTTCTAGTGTATCGTTCTTACCTTTAACTTATACAACCATTCTTTATTTATATGTTTATTTATTTTAGTTTATCTAATTTTATTTAATTCAATATTGTTTTTATTTACCATTAATATATAATTTCCTTCGATATCCTGCTTCTTGCCTCTGTATATATATATTCTTTTTTTTTTTTTTTTTTTTGACAAAAATTCTTTATACTTTTATACAGATATAATCGCGAAAAAGGACAAGAAAAGTTGCCTCACACCTCTTAGATTGTTAGTTATAAAGTTATCTGCTTACACGTAATGACTACATCAGTCTGCTTTTAATGAAAACCTTTAAAATCAAATTTTAATCATATAAAGGCACAGAAAGAGAGAAAGAGATGTGGCTGTTGTAATTAACGCTTAAACCCGTATGTGTACAATTTAAAAAAATATTGACCTTTTATCCACAAAACGAAATTTATTATAATCGATTTTTCGCATTAACTCAAACTAACCTCGGTTATTAGGCTTATAATTGTGAAAATTTCCTAACATATATATATGCATGCACACATGCATACATACATACATGTATGGAATGTCAGCTTTAATTAATCAAAATCGATCAATATTAACATATACATATATATAACAACAACAATGAAAAACTTTTATTGAATGAAATGAAAATAAAAAAAAAAATAACCAACCGGTCGTATAAGTGATTTATCATATAAACGTGCAATCTTATTTATTTACATTGTGCCCATGTTTTGTGTAAGTGTGTATGTGTGTATGCTTTCGTACGTAATTGATGTCATTCCTTTTCTATTTTTGTTTATATCTCTAAAATTCTTGTTTTACCTTAAGATAAACATTTGTTTAATTCATAAAATCTCTTGTTCTTCTTTTTCCCTCTCTTTTCATAAACGAAAAAAAAAACAAAACAAACATATGAATAAAAACATACAAAAACGCTTTGTTTTCACTTTCTATTGGAAAAAATAATATAAAAAAAAAAAACAAAATCAAAACAAAATTTTTACTCTTAACTTACTCACACTTTGGGATTGCGTATCTGGCACTCTTTCTCTCTCCCTTTGTGTGCGTGTGTGTGTCTGGTTTCTTACTCTCAAACATGTTTTATGCCTGTCTGCAACCATCACATCTCAACCTCTCTTCTTATTTATTAAACAAAAAAAAACAAAAAACAAAAAATAATAATAATAAATATTAAAACAAAAAAAAAACAATTAATTAAATTAGTATGTTGTTAAATGCGTTATAGTAGCAATCAAAACCATTGGCAACATAATGCTTGTTACTCATCTATTGCAATTTATTTTTGCGGTGATTGGAGTGAAACTTTTCAAGGTAATTTAATTCATTTCTCATTTTTACAAATATTTTTTAAAAAGATTTACAAGTTTTTAAGGGAGACTTTTAAAAAAATATATATTGTGATATATTTTTTATATCGTAAGATAATATTATATCATGATATAATTTCATTAAAATGAAACCATGACATACTGTATATCATGAAATAAATTTTCTTTTGAAGCTCTTTAAGTTTAAATATCATGACATATTATTGATGAAAAACGAAACCATGACATATTATATATCATGAAATAACTTTTCTTTTGATGTTCTTTTAAGTTTAACATAAAAAAATAAATAAAAAGAAAAAAAAAGAAGCTCTTTTTACTTGCTAAACTGAAATAATTCAATATAATCTTAAAAATATATTATTTATTTTAATTTATTTATTTCCTTTTTTTTTTTTTTGTATATTCCTTTGGACTTGCTTGTTTTTCTTTTCAAAGGGTAAATTTTTTCAATGCTCGGATGGCTCCAAAATGTATGAAGAAGATTGCCAGTAAGTAGTTTTTAATTGCTCATCAAAATGCCATCTATTTTAATTTTTGCTCTTCTCTTTCGAAAAGCGGTACATATTTGGTCTATGAAAACGGTGATGTGAATAAACCTCGCCTGGAGCAACGCGAGTGGAAGAATAATCGCTTTCATTTCGATAACGTAGCGAAAGCTATGTTAAGTTTATTTACCGTAACTACTTTTGAGGGTTGGCCCGATCTACTATACGTTTCCATTGACTCGAATAAAGAAAATGGTGGCCCCATACACAATTTTCGCCCGATAGTAGCCGCTTATTATATTATTTACATTATTATTATTGCGTTTTTTATGGTTAACATATTCGTTGGTTTCGTGATTGTTACATTCCAAAATGAGGGTGAACAAGAATATAAGGATATAGAATTGGATAAAAATCAACGAAATTGCATAGAGTTTGCATTAAAAGCTAAACCGGTACGACGTTATATACCGAAAAATGGCACACAATACAAGGTGTGGTGGTTTGTCACATCTCCCTCGTTTGAATACTTGATATTTGTATTGATTATGATTAACACGGTAACATTGGCCATGAAATTCCACAAACAACCGGAATTCTACACGGAATTATTGGATGCTCTGAATATGATATTTACGGCGGTATTTGCTTTGGAATTTGTCTTTAAATTAGCAGCATTTCGCTTTAAGGTAAGTCAAGCAAAAAACAGATGGGCAACTGTATCGGGCAAATTGTATTGCCCAACTGTACTGGGCAATTGTGCTAGGAAACTCCACTGAGCAACTGTCCTGGGCAACTATACTGGGTAACTATGCTGTACAACTATACCGGACGACTATACTAGGCAACTACAACCAGCAACTATGCTTGACAGCTGCACTGAGCGCCTATACGGGAGAATTATCCTAAGCTGCTACACTGAGCAACTGTACTTGGCAACTATATTGGACAACTATACTGGGCAACTATACTTAGGCAACTATATTGGGCGACTGCACTGGGCAATTACACTGGGAAACTATACTGGACAATCACACTGGACAACCATACTGAGCAACTATGCTGGATATCTATACTGGGTGACTGTACTGAGCAACTATACTGACTAACTATACTATACATGGCAACTATATTCGACAACTATACTGGGCAAGTACGCTGGACAATTATACTTGATAATTATGCTAGGCAACTATATTGGGCAATCACACTGCGCAGCTATACTGAGCAACTATGCTGGACATCTGTACTGAGCGACTATACTGGGCAACTATGCCGGACAGCTACACTGAGCAACTATGCTGAGTTGCTGTCCTGAGCAACATTGTTGACAAAAAGTTAAAAATATTGAAAAAATATAACGGACATCAGCATTGAGCAACATTGTCGACAAGACAATAACAAAAATTAAACTAAAGTATTGATCAACGATTACTTCTTTTCTTTACTAGATAACAGAACTTTATAGACGCATCGAAATAACTTTTGTTCTTTTATTACAGAATTATTTTGGTGATGCTTGGAATACTTTTGATTTTATAATCGTTCTGGGTAGTTTTATAGATATTGTTTACAGTGAAATTAAGGTAATACACACACAAATCCACTAGAACACAAGTAACTTACTCTTATTACATGTTCTCTTTTAAATAGAATAAAGAAGACGCTCTAACAGCCGCTTGTGATGTGGTTCAAGGATGCAAAAGTAAAGCTAAGGTATTTATTACGTTTTACTTTATTGCTTCATTAACAACAACTTCTTACCATGCTTGACAGGGTGGATCTACACTTATTTCAATAAATTTCTTCCGTTTGTTTCGCGTAATGCGTTTAGTAAAGTTGCTATCGAAAGGTGAAGGTATCCGCACTTTACTATGGACTTTTATAAAATCATTTCAAAGTCTGCCTTACGTTGCTCTACTTATCGTAATGCTATTTTTCATTTATGCAGTAATCGGTATGCAGGTGAGATGTCGATAATCCTTCGGTTTGAGAAATCATTGAAATTCATCAAGTGCTTTCTAGATTTTTGGAAAAATCGTTTTGGATGATGACACTACCATCCATCGCAACAATAATTTTCAATCATTTCCTCAAGCCCTATTGGTATTATTCCGTTCGGCTACCGGCGAATCTTGGCAAAATATTATGATTGATTGCTCGCCAAGAGAAGAAGTGAAATGCGATCCACTTTCGGACGCAAAGGGTGACTGTGGTTCGGCTATTGCCTTCCCTTACTTTATATCATTCTATGTTGTCTGCAGTTTTTTGGTAGGCTGGAGGTAAAGAGAAATCTTAAAATTTATTAAAAATGTCTTTTTTATTTTCAGATTCTTAACTTGTTTGTGGCCGTTATTATGGATAATTTTGATTATTTAACACGCGATTTTTCTATATTGGGTCCACATCATTTGGATGAATTTATACGTCTTTGGTCCGAATATGACCCGGATGCTAAAGGTCGCATTAAACATCTAGATATAGTTACGTTGTTGAGAAAAATATCTCCACCTTTGGGATTCGGTAAATTGTGTCCACATCGTACGGCCTGCAAGCGTCTGGTGTCTATGAATATGCCTTTAAATTTGGATGGGACAGTTTTATTCAATGCCACACTTTTCGCCGTGGTACGTACTTCGTTATCAATTAAAACCGAAGGTAACATTGATGACGCCAACACCGAGCTGAGAGCGATAATCAAACAAATTTGGAAACGTACTAATCCTAAGCTATTAGATCAATGTGTACCGCCACCCGGCAACGAAGACGAGGTTACTGTCGGCAAATTTTATGCCACCTACTTAATCCAAGACTATTTTAGACGATTTAAAAAACGCAAGGAAATGGAAGGCCGGGAAGGTCAAATTGATAGCGATGATACTGTTACATTGCAAGCAGGTCTACGAACATTGCACGAAGTATCGCCAGCCTTGAAGAGAGCAATCTCGGGTAACTTGGACGAATTAGCTGAGGAACCGGAACCTATGCATAGGGTAAATTTGTTGCCAAAAAAAAAAAAAAAAAACACATGGCAAATGTTTTTCATTCTCTAAACAATTATTTAGCGGCATCATACACTTTTTGGCAATGTTTGGTCTTCATTACGTCGACACGGTGGTTCAAAACCGGGTAAAATCAACCGCAATTTAGCTCTTGGTAGCGCCTCTGAAGGCGTACGATCCGATATTTCAAATATGGGCTCCGATTATATATACGACTCGATACATTGTAGCGTAGCGGATGGCATTGATAATCTGACTAGAAATCTTATGCAAACGCGGCCTGGTGGTGGCAATGAATTGCGAACCTTTAACGAAACAATGAGTATGCGCCCTCTTATGATGAAGAGTCTCGGCAATAATGCACCAACTTACGAAAGTGTGCTTAGCGAGTAAGCAAAAAAAAAATAATATATATATATATATATAATGCAAATAAATTTGATTAAAACGCATTAATTTGAATTTGACAGCAACTCGCAACGCAGTAATCTATTGCATCCTTACAATAATGGTAAGACAATCTTAATAACAATTTGATTCGATTAATCCCTACATTCCCGCAATTCCAACATCTTTGTATTTTAACCCTACCATATATATATATATATATATATGCATATACATATCACAGTGAATGGTACCCTACGCAATCAAGATCGTTTATTGCACCCCAGTTCCCCTAATTCATATTTGGCAGTCCCAGCACGCGTGCCTACTTCATATGAAGTCAATGGCTTGGCCGAGAGTCTGGTCGGGGGGGTAAGCTTGAAGCTCAGCTTGAATTTTCTTAATCGCAATTATCAATTAAATTTCTCTTCTATTTAGGTCCTCGTCGCTGAAGGTCTAGGTAAATACTGTGATTCAGAATTTGTCGGCTCCGCAACGCGAGAAATGCAAGAAGCTCTTGATATGACACCGGAAGAAATGAATTTGGCCGCTCATCAATTATTAAACAGCGGCAACGTTTTGAGCGATATGATGCCCACATCACCTGCCACATATGCACCAATTCATTTACGTACAATTACAGGATCTACCGCCACTACTACTCGCCCAAATCCAGCAACATTATCTCCGCCCTCCAAAACGACATTTGCAAACAATCGCAATTTCAATTCATAACGAAGAAAGATAGAACTGTTTTTTTTCATACCTGAAAATCAAATCAAATTCAGAATCAATATTAAATATTATGTAAGCAATTAAGATTGGAAAATGAATTAAAATAAATATAAAATCTAAATATAAAACAAACTCTAGATGATTGTGTTAATCTTCTGAAGAAATATTATACCCGTCTTAAGTCATATGCTTTGTTATCTATCAAGGCCTTATAAAAACTTATTAAGTATGAAAATGTATCCTTTCCGTTGGAATTGTTTGCTTCACAAAACTTACTTAAAGTATTTAATTTATCGTAAATTTTAGGTATAGCCAACGCAGTTTGTGCAAAAAATTATAGCCATGAAAAGAATGAAAATTCGCATACGTCCGTATGTCCGTCTTTCTCTGAAAAACAATTGAGGAAACAATTTTCAACTTAGGCTTAGGAATTTCGCCACACCCGTTATACTCTCCGGACCTGTCCGCTTTCGATTACCACTTATTCAGATCGACGCATTCATCTTTAGCAGGTCAGTAACTCTACAACGATGAAGACATGCAGAAATGGACCGATGACTATTTCATCTCGGACTCATGAAGTTTCTATGTGCGCTTCAGAGAATAAGCGTATATGTTCTCAATAATTTGTAAAAATGCCAAACATGCGAGAATAAGCACCCACACATTTGTTTACACTTCTTAATAATTGAAAAGTGTTTGTTTCTACCGCGAGAGCATCAATAAGCTACCCGATAGGTTGTAGCCGTGAAAGAGGTGAAAATATGCACGCGTCCATCATTATTCCACAGAAACCGGGAAAATTCACAAGCTCAAGAATAAAGCCAATTTTCTTTTGAAGCCATTAAAGATTTCATCATCAAAAGATTTCAAAGTAAGCACCAAAGCGTTCTAGAATCGACTTGCACGGACAGTAAATGGACGTTTAGCTAAAGATTTCGATATACATGGCATTGCTACAAAAAGGTTCCTATTCGACCTAGAAAATTGTAGCCGTTCGATTAAAATATTCACCACTTGTAATTAAGTTATTTTGCAGAGATAGATATTCAGTTTATATTTTAAGTTGCCATGGAAAAAGAATTTCAAAAAACGGTGCACAAACGAGAAGATGTGGTCGCTGAGCCTTATATTATAGGCAAAATGTGTAGTGCAGTTGAACATCAGTTTAAGTCTATCTAAATTGTAAGACGGACAGCCAGATGTCACTTTAATGTAATAGTGAACATGCGACGTAAGAGGAGCGAGCGTAATTGTATATTTAACTTGTCCGCCGATTAGGTAGAAACCACGACTAAGTCAGTATTCGTGAATTCAAATCTCACTGAAGAGTGCACTTTGGTCGCAGCGAGAAAAGGCAAAACAGTTAACGATCGTGCACACCGACCCAATAGGCTTCTTTACCTTCTTCACTTCTTCTTCTTTCTGGTCGTTACCTTTATACACGAATAGTGGCAAGTGTAAGGTCAGATTATATAATTTCCATAGTGTCAGATGTATTTTAGAAAAAATATTGTCCAAGTGCACGTTAAAGCTAAGTACACGGTCCAGAATTACCCCCAAACATGAGTCCACGAAATCAATAGCATCTTCATTTAATGCAAATTGAACGAAACCAGCCCGAGAAGAGTGAGAAAGCATTGATACAAAGCATACTCTCCATCATCCACAAGTTGATACGTACTAAAGATTCGTTAATCACAGTATCGAATGTGTAAATATCATTTCGATTGCAGCTATCCGAATTCTACCAAATCGGAAATATCATTGCCGACTAGATGGAACATCAAGAGATCCAGGATGGACCGGTAAAAGCCAGGGAGCTAGCTGAGGTGACCTGCAGACGTAAATTGTTTGCGTTTATAGATCTGTGATGAAATAGAGAAAACGAGTTTATCCTTGCTAAGATTCCATCTGATATGATCCGCGGATGCGGAAGCAGTTTATTTGCACACCTATTATTAGGAAAAAAATTGCTTCATATTTAATAATTGTGTACAAAATTGTTGCATTAATCAGAATTACGTATATATTGCATAGGCAAATTGTCCCGGAAATGTAAAGGAAAAAAAACACTACTTCCTTATCCCTTTCTAATGGCTATGTGAAATAATTACTTGAATTTATTTTTTGTATAATTTTTCAAAAGTGTTTTTTTATGTTTTTATTACAAACCGAAAAATTTATTATATAAATAACTTTTTTCATAAAAATTTATGCTATCACAATTTGAAGAGAAAAATCTTATTTTGGATTATTTATTGGTTTTTAAAATCTTACAAGTATTTAAAATAAAAAAAAAAAGAAAAGCATTCAATTCATTCAATGAAGATTGAAGAGAAAAGAATGCCTTCAGGCAGTAATTTAAAATAAATACAATAATTAAGAGTAAAGTGCACCGATTATAAAAATAATAACTTAATTAAGTATATGTATGTGTGTACGGGTGGGTGGATTGAATTGCAAGTGTAAAAAGTGTAAAAAAGTGTATAAGATAATGGACCGTATAAGGTTATCGTTTACACTTCAAATATACTTGGTGCTTGTAGATAATCGGTATTTTGATATATTACCGTTCCATCGGGCGTTTCGATTGTTTTAATTAAAGTTTTGCAATAAAAGCAAACTTTCGAATTCATTAAATGTTGCAAAATGCAATTACTGCACGATTGATGTTTGCATGGTGTAAACATTACAGCAATCGGCTTTGCACAACAAATCGGGCACAATGAATCCTCAGATGGTAATGTAATGTCGGATAGTAACGATTGTTTCACTTTCAACATCTCAATAAGGCGACGCACTTCTTCGATTTCCTCATTGGAAACATGAGTGGGGACTGCAAAATACATTTATGTACATATATAAATGATTTTTGCTTTTTTCTAACATATCAACTTACAATCGCTTAGCGTGAATTTAATAATGGGAGGATCGGCACGTATTCTTTTACTGGAAGTAGGTTGTGGTACTCTGACATCATTAGTTAAAGGATCTATATGGGCCCGAGTAGATGGATCGAAATTGCCGCGGGGTATTTCACTTTGCTGTAGAATAGGCGTTTTGATTTCGCCTAAAGCGAATTCCAAATTGGCGAATTGAAAGCTGGGATCCGTTAATAAGGCACGTGTTATGCGGGTAACCTATAAAGTTTAGATATTTCTCTTAACACGTGAAAACCGTTATACTTTTACGTTGGAAGTATACCTTCGAGGGATTCTTATCATTTTCCATTTCTGGACGCAATAAAGCTAATAATATACCTAGCGCAGCAGCTATTATGGGAAAGTGTGTGACTGCATTGAGATCGGCGGAACACATATCGACAACAAACTGAAAGCAACCGGGTGGTACTGTAACACGTGATAATACTTGACTTATTAATTGGCAAACACGAGTCAATATCAAATCACTATTTGGCCGGGCAGCATCATGAAATATTTCCGGCGCTATAGTTATAATCATTTCCAGACAACGCATTAAAGAAACTGTTAATTCGAAGCACATGGAACAAATTTTCAATTGTTTCGGTTCGAATACCGTGTTCTCTTGACGCAGCGCGGTATTTTGTATCTACAAAAAGAAAAAAAAAGTGTAATATTTTCGCCAAAATTAATCAGAGCAGAAATTGACCTCCTGCAGCAACAATATGAACTCGGAAAAAGCCCAATTCAATTGACTTAAAACTGAATTCAAAAATGTAGTAGCAAACGGTTCATCTTCCGCTAGTTTTTCCCCTATTAATTTTTGAAAATATTTGGAAGGATTTGGTGGCGCTATATTATGCAGTAGGCCTGTATGTGATTCGTTTTTGGAACGGCTGCGACACAAGCCCAATTGAAAAGGAACGTTACCACCTTGCCATACACAAGGTTGACGAGCGTCTTTATAGGCGAAGCCCTCGCCTAGCCAGAAGCGCAGCAGCAGCCAATTGCTTTGACCCCAGGCACGATTTTCGTAAGGGCGCAATAAAGCCTTAACCAAAGAGACTTGACTGTAAACAAAGCATCAAAGAACAATTATTTAGAGGAGGAGAGAAAGAGAGAGAAATTATATATACCTTTTCCTAGGAGACTTCTCTAAGGCCTTTATACCAGGTTTATGACAAGTTAGTGTGCCCAAAGCTTGCAACAATGAATCTTTGCAGGAAGCCAATATGATACGCGGGTCTGCTGAGTGTACGCTTAAGAAATCTGCAATCATATTGAGGACACATTCCGAATCGCTGACTTCAAATTGAAAAAGTAGGTCATGATTGCTGAAATCCATCACTGTATCCAGAAGTATAGGTAAAATGTTAATGTAGACTTCGGGCACGAAAGCAAACAATACGCCGGTTTGTGAAGACATCTACAAGTATTAAGACAGTAACATTCTTCTGCCTAGTGCTACTATAAGGTTAATAAATCGACTTTTCTCCTATCGTACAAAAGAAGAATTTTACTAAACCCAAAAGTGCTACCGGAGGCTATTGAAAGGTTTTATCATCTATTGATTAAGTTTCTTCACTGCTTTTTGGTTTGTTCGTTTCTAAGCTAAGTGAATTTGACATTTATTTTAGACTTGAGTAGCCAAGAGTTGGTTTAACTTCTTTATAGCCCGAGTTTTCTTCTGACATAAACTATTTTGTTGAGTTGTGTTCGCAGTACAAAGAACACCCAGAAGAACTTGAGGTAGACTCAGCTCTTACTATACCGAAACTTGTCTGTCCGTGTGTCCGTCTCGCTTTCTTCTGTTCAACCTGCAGATCACAATTTTTGCGACATTTTGATAAAACTTGTTACATCAAAGGATTTTGGCTCAAACCTGAACATTATAGAAAATGGTTGAGAACCGAACACTTTTCCAATGACTTCCCATACAATGTATTAGTTTGAAAAGTCACTATATGACTAACTATATTAAATGAGGTGGTGCAAGGTATTCAATGGTACGCCGTGGCTCACTTTGCTTTTACTTGTCTTTCACTAAACAAAAAAAGGAAATAGGAAAATACTTTGAAAGAATAGTTTAGAAAATCAAGAAGTGAGACCAGCCGATTAATGGAGATCTTCACAAAAACTAATCTTTACGGTCCTTAACACGAAATAATTTCCAGTCGATTTGCTCTTCTACTCACATTTAAGGTTCGTAAGGTTTTTTCTAAAAACCAAATTAATATTGCACGACGTTTTGCACCTAAGGCTACACTTCGAAACCAAGCCTGCTTCCGGCTTAACTCAATCGAACGTTGCTATGAAGAAAAAGTGAAGGTTTTCAAAAACTTTAACAGTTAAAATATTATTCACAGACTCACAGCAAATACATTTTCTCTGATTGCGAATTTTGATTTCAGTTCGGACATAACTTGAGAATAATCAATCACACAGCAACCATTATGATCTTCTATCATTTGCAATTTTTTGGCAACGGTTTCGCGATAATATTTTGTTTCACTGAGAGCATCGTTTAACGCAGCTATTTCATCGCGTACTGAAGCAATCTACATAATGATTGAAAAAAAAGAATGAAAATTAATAAAATCCTATAGAATGTAATTAGCTTAACTTACCTTGACAATATATTTATGACCAACCGCATAATAGTAGAGGACACATAAATCCAGAAGTTCACATAGAGAGACCTCCGTGCCACAATTGCCGGGTGTTACCTCGAAAACTTGTGTTACACGTGGGTTAAGAAACGTGGTAAATGTAGTCGTAGTGGCTCTAGGATTAAGAAATATATTAAATTTATATTATATTCACGTGCTTCAAAAAGAAGACAATATTACATACCCTCCCGGCCGTCCCACTATTGATATGTTATTAAGCGTGTCAGCGGCTACGGATACAAAAGGGCCTAAAAATTATTAGAAACGATTCATACGTTAAAAGATACAACTCATACCAAGTTCAGCTACTCGAACTACGACACGATCATCATCTAATAATTCTTGAGTTCTTTCAGTACCTAGCTGCTGTACGATATCGTTATGATGCACTTTGCGCAGATGCGATAATACGCCACCGACGCGATCATAATGCTGATATTCCAAGCTTCCATCATAGAAGTACTTTGATGGAATTTGCACTTCTACGCCAGGCAATTCCTTTTCAAACAATGTCTTAGTGACATCCACTAAAATGCAAATAAATGCTAAGGCGACTGGATTTTCAATTGGATGTAAAATGCTAGACTGCATAAAAAAAAAGCTGTGAAAAGGCTAAAAGGAATTTTGTTCTTAATGAGAGAAAATTCGCAATATAATGAAATTATTATTTTATACCCTTTGTTCCATGCTAAGATCCATAATATATCTCCGAGCCTTAGCTAAAAAAAGTTTTCGACTTGAAGGTGAACGACTATCCGCGTCCGTATTGTTAAGTAAAGTAAGTAGAAGGGTTTTTTGAAGAATATACAAGTATTCCGTCGATTTGCAAATTTTCTCAACGGCGCCCATATATCTGCTTTTTGGACCACCTATGCCGTCAGTCCAAGCTAAATGATTTGGTATCAATTCTTGCATATAGGCGAACTCAGGTGGTCTTATACACATCAGCAAAGCCAAACTACGCCAAAGGAAGGAAAAAAGGGAAAAACGTGGACACGAATCCGAAAAAGAAACATTATATATCTTACAAATGCTTTTTAAAAAATTTGAATTCCAGATAGGTTTTTCTAGTCTTTGTATGATTGCATAGAGCTACCAACACTTGCAATGATTGACGCTGACGCTCATAATCCAATTGTTTATGAGTATGACTGTAGCTGCTAAGCAAGGCATTGGCTAATTTCTTGAGAATAAATTTCATTTCCTCTGCTTCAAGATAGTTCCAAAACATATCAAGCAAGCAGCCCAAAACACTATCCGCATGACCCGGTTGAACTGAGTCCGAATCATTTCTGCAAGTATTAAGAGGAGTATATTTTAATTTATCATCAAATATTTACAAAACGTTATACTTTACTTAATATTGTTTAACGTTTTTATATACAGTAATACTTTTTCCTCGATTATGTACTGATTAAATAGGATCGGTAGCAATTTTTCTATTAGCAACGTGCAAAAGACGATATAAACCGTTTTCTTCGTAGACAACTTGTCCTCGCCAGCCTTCTTATCATGATTGATATTATAACGAGATACTATGGTAGCTAAATAATAGAAAAAACATAGAAAATAAAAAATGGCTTTATATAAGAAAATAGCATTAAGTCACGCTTTAGTCCAGAAACCTAGGTTAACCATATAATTCATTAATAAATCGGCTTTCTGCAAATCAGCTATTGGCTTGGCCATTAAAGGCCTAAATCCTTCTACGGGATATTTGAAGGGGGCATTCCCAAAATTGGCTTGTACTCCCTGATTATAGCCCAAAGATATACCAGGAAAGAAAGTAATACCAGGTCCTTTTTCTAATCTCTGAAAAGCTACACCCAACGATTTGCCGTTGCGGTAAAAGCTAACTTCCTCTTTGTCCACGTCTATAGCAACGCCAATAATATCGCCAATTTGCCACTTCTCGCCATACCTGAAAGAAAGAGCATAAATTAAAAGAGAAACTTCTCCAAACTATGCATTTTTATTGTACAATTACTTGTTGGTGGATATATGCCAGCTTTGTTGTTTACTGCCATCAAAACCATAGCTTAGTTTGGAATCGCCTACACCGCTATTCTCGTTGAACAGGCATTTGTTGGAACACCAACCAATTTGCATAACACCCTTGCTGTGCAGTTGTATCTACGCCAAACGCCCAACAAGGAATGACAAAAAGAAAGCAAACGATGAGAAAGCTTGGCACTTTCCATTTTAGAAGCGAAAGGCAAACATACCTCATACATCCAGCGGCCGCCGTACACGCAAACATTAGCTTTGATTGTGTTGAAACTACCCTGCGACCGCACTGATAGCCTATCGCTAGCTATACGCACCGTCGAAGAATAATCAATATCGAATATTACCAATTCTGGTCCAAGCCTTGACCGCATATCACATTGTTGCTGCAGAGTGGCCTCCTTGCAATTTGATTCGATAGCATCAAGTTTATCTTTAAGCCATGACTTGACCAACACCATTTGTCTACAAAACGTTAATGGACTATTTTTGTAGACATTATCGCTTATATATCAGCTTTATTCCATTCTTCACTCCTACTGCGTACTTACTCTGACAAGGTCAGGCTCGGTTTTAAGCTTGATTTACCCGTTTGCACCGAACTAATGGCGGCAGGCCCATGTTCTTTAGAACTTACTGATTCTACCCGGTCCTCAAATATGTTCTCATTGAAAACTTTTACAAATAATTTAGCAATGGACATATTTTCTCCGTTTTTCCTGTTCTGTTCAGATTTCGTCTCAAAATGATCATGAAATTATTCCCAGAGAAGAATTATTCCCGATCTTCAATGCATTGATTTTGTTGGAGAAAAAGGATTTTGTAACAAAGTAAAATTTTAATTTGATATTTAAATTTTTTAAATTATGAATTTGTTGTTATTTAAGGAAATGAAATTTTAAAGACTTTTTTATTGTTGTTTCTGTATGTTAAAGTGTTACCCATATTCATTGTCAACGCAAGAAAATGGATATTCTACTTTAGCGCAAAGCATTGCCAGCTTAACACACGCCAAGTGCTTCTTCTTCTGCGAGGCATATATCAACAACAAAGCGAACGTAATACTCTATGCTAATTACAGAAAAAACGTAATACTCTATGCTAATTTGCAAAGCCGTCGGCAAAAGTCCCCAATTTGATCCAAATTCTCTGCTAATCAATAAAAAACATCTGTTGAAACAAACAAACAATTTGGCAGTTTAACAACAAAAGCAACAGTAGTAGTGAATAAAGCATATAAATAAATAAATAAACCGGTTATAAAAAACTAAGCATATTGTGGCTTTTCTTTCCTTTTTTAACTTTAAATCCATTATATAGTATAGGAAACGAAGAAAAACGGAAAAATTATTCTTTGATTAGACTTAATAACTTGATACGCGTTCTCTCTCTCCATTACCCACACCTACTATAAACGTATATAAACGTATTTCGTCGTCAAAAAGAAGATAAAACTAAAAAGAAATTCTAACAGGACGTATAAGCAATCTCAATATTACATTAATATTACACCTAAAGGGAGGCAAGCAAAGCCAACGTTAAATTCTCTGCTATTTGCAGAAAGACCCTAATAATCTTTGTTGATTCACTGAATTGCAGGACAAAAAGAGGAAGAAGACTGTTTACATTCATTCGTTGGTCATTACTAGCACTTTTCCTAAATCTTAACAAACTAATTAGAAGTAAACTAGAAACTATTAATTTGATTTCACATATAGTAATATTAATATATGTTTCAATTGAAAGGCTAACACTGTTCTGTGACATCAGGTAAAAGTACTCGGACCACTCCAATACAAATAAACGTTTAAAAGAACAACAAAAACAGATAGTTGCTCATTTAATACTCCATATGACTATGAACAGCAAGATGATGACCTTTGAATTATATGAGAAAGAGGGAGAATTGTAAAAATTATATGGACAGCAAGATGATGACCTGTAAATTATCTGATAATGGATGACTGTGAATCGAGGGGATTTTTGTGCTTTTTTCTTTTATAAGGCGGCGAATCATCTGTTATCGACTCGCTGAACGTTTAAAAAAAGAAGAAGAAACACAGTGAGTTTTAAGTAATTCTTTGCTTTATCAATTTCGTGTTTTCCATTCTCAAACGTTAATTTTATATTACTAATAATCAAAAAAATTAATTTTTCTCTATAAAAATCAACTCAATTAGTTATTACGGAAAGTGAAGGGCAAGAATAAGGATAAGAAAATGTTAAATGATTGGGATGAAGTAAAACGCTTGGCGGCCGATTTCCAAAAAGCCCAATTAACGTCTACGTTGCAAAAGTACACTCGATATTCTTCTTTGACCTTTAAATTCTCCACATGATAAACATTTTTTTTATTTTCATTATTCTTTAGACTATCGGAACGCAACTGTGTCGAAATTGTTGCTTTATTATTGGAAAAGCAATTGCTAGAAGTCATATTCACTAATGATGGCAAAGAATATATAACACCAGATCATTTAGAAAGAGAAATTCAAGATGAATTGTATGTGAATGGTGGGCGAGTCAACTTAGTGGAAGTCAGTAAAACCTTAAACGTAGATTTAACTAAGGTTAGTGCTATTTTAACTTTAAAGAATTGTAAAATATATATACTCGTTATATGTTTGTATTGAACCAGATTGAAAAAATTGCTGAGAAAATAGCTAAAGAGAACGCCAGTATCCACTTCATCTTGGGCCAATTAATTGATGAAGATTATATTACGTATATAGCCCAAGAGATACAAGAAAAACTACAACAAAAGGGTGAAATTACAGTCAATGATTTAACGGAACAACTTGATTTGCCATCGGATTTCTTGCAACATGATGTTATTGAGAAACATTTAGGAAAGATAATTAAAGGACGGCAAGATCCAACAAATCCTCGAAACTTCTTCACCCAATCCTATGTACAACGTTGTAAGGCCAAGATACGTGGAGCTCTGTCTGCTTTAACTAGGCCTACTAATGTTTCAGTTATATTGCAACAAATCAATGTTCAACAGAAAATCTTTCATACCCTTCTGGATGAGCTTAATCCGGCTGGCTACGTTACTTCCAAAGTAGCTAATGCTCAGTATGTACCGCATATATACGCTCGGATGCAAATCGATTGGGTCAACAGTTTCTACAGGCAAAATGGTTTTCTGGAATATGAGGCTCTTACTAAACTGGGTATAAGTAACGCGAAACAATTTATTAACAAACATTTGGCCGAAGAACAGTTTATATATCTTAAACGTTGGGCGATTAGTGAGAAACTTCTTGAATTAACTATAATACCATCTTTATTGGCAACGAAACAATACATTGATCTGTCTTCTATATTACCCAGTAATATGTCTACAGCCGACAAGGAAGAACTTTTTGAAATTATTATTAGTAAGAAACTGAATAATATCAGTAATCAATATATACTGCTGGGCAGCGAAAAAGGTTCAAGTATAGTGTTCACGACGTCATATTTGGAGGAACTCATCGAACCTTGCCGTGAAATGGCGAGATGCAAAGCAAAAGGTTCCGTAGAAACAGGAATTTACCAGCAATACCTGACTGCTAAGCTGATGTCACAAAAATCCTTAACTGAGACAGAAGAGGATTCAATGAAGCTTGATAAAAAAGATGAACGACGTAAAAAGGCTTCTACTGGCAAGGCTGGTGGTGGATCACAAGGTCGTGAAACTAAAACTAAATCTACTAAGAAGCATGCACGTGGAGGTCCTGGTAAAAGAGGAAATGTTGACAGTGATGACGAGGATAATAATATTGAATCTTTGGGTAAAGCGCGAAAGCAATTGGAATTAGTTACTATGGCAGATATAATCGAAATTATAAACAATGAAACTCTTAAACTCAATATGGAAGAATTAAATGAAGACATCGCATCTTTATGTCATGAGTAATCCAAGTTTAAGAAAATAATTCAAATTAATAATCTCATCTTTTGATATTATCCAGGCAATTAAATCAATTGGCTATGAACACTGCCCAGGAGCTATATGAAGCGACATTGCAAAAATCCGCAGCTGGTGGTGGTCGTCAAAGTCATGCAACCGTGCAAGAGAAAATTAATGCTTTGCTTATAGATTTGCGGCTCTATGAAAAAGGTCTTAAGGTACACATCATAAAATTTATAAATTTTCTTAAAACGCTGTAACGTTTAATATGTTGAAGCTCTTTCCCGCTAACGTTCAAACCGAATTAATAAAATATCTTTTAAAATCAATGGGTAACGATATATGCAACGAACTGCTCGCGTATATTGCTAATGAATGCCAAATCGAATTAAAAAATAATAACCTAAATATGGATCAACGTAATAAGTTGGCTCAAGAGTGCGGTAAGTGATAGTTGAATTAAAACTTTTTATCTGGACTTGCAATGTAATGAAAAAAAGGTAGCACAAGTTTTTGTTGTTTAGATCAAGAAGAGATTTAACTTACTTTCGATGGAAATGATAAGAATTAGCTCACCTTTAGCCGACATGAAAGTAATTAAAACTGTCTTCTTGAAAGCGTATGTCAGAGATATATAACTCGTTTTATAACTTCTCCCAAAAATTTATTTGAAATTACCAGCAGAACTTTATTGGATCTTACGAACGGCACGTAATTCCTGAATTCGAATCATTTTCATTGCCCTCTCTCGTACAGTAATAATATATTTGTATTCCTTTTCATTTCTTAGTCTTCTGCGACTATTGACCATACCGCATGTAATAACAAAGAGCTTAAAATTATGCTAAGGCATGTGAAGTATTCGTAAGAGACTTAGTAAAAAGAAGTTGAAACGTGAGGAAAGAGTAAAAAGTATGGAAAAATCCTATAGATAGTAGTGTACTTATACACAGAGCAGTAAATTCAGCACACTTACCGTCTGCTAATTCACTGTTTTTACGACTCGTTCAGCACTGTGTTGTGTTCGGGTGAGCTGCCTTGTAATTGAGAACTACGCAACAAAGCCATATGAAAATTCATTATTGGACGAAAATAATAAAAGTAGCGATCAAGCAATTATAGTTTCGCACAAACAATTATTGCAAATATTGTAAAGTAAGCAATATTCAGTTGGTGCGCGCAACAATATAGAAATAGATTTGTAAAAAGATCATTTGAAATTCAATCACTGAATGGTGAGTTTGCCCATACGAACTGCCTTTCTTCAGGTCGCTGTAATAAAAGAACTTGAGTTCACTATAGATCAAAATAATTTCACTGGACATAAAGCTGACAAAATCTAAACGTTCCTCCCATTTCCAAATCTACTGTTTTGTATACTGTTTATGAGTAATAAGGAGAAAGCAACAAAAAAGTGAAAAAAAATTTGATCACTTATAGCTTTATGTGGGCCCTCGTCTAATTTTTTCCATTTTTGTGCAGTTGTTACAGGGCCGCTCATAGATTATGAATGCTATATCTGTCGTAGTTTATCATTAACGAGTAATGATGAAAACATATACCGAGTCCTTTGACGGATTTGGGCCAATTTTAGTATTAGCCTGGGTACAAAGACCTCCCCTCTTTATGCCATAATTAAAGATGATTGCTGAATTTTTTTGACCACGGAAATATTTCCCGCAGATATTACACAGACAGACATGTTTAATTCACACAAAACTGCAAGCATTTTAAATTAAATTTCATTTCAATCGCTGTATATATTCTGACCATTGGCCTAAACAAAAGTATTTAGAGAAAAAGTTTGCTGTTGCATTAAGAAGCACTACACACTCATTATCTATGGTGGATATAAAAAAAAAAAATTTATGCCCTACACCGCTTTTAGTACAAAGGTATGTGAACTTTGTTTGTATATATGCAATAGGAATGAGCATTTGAAAAACACCCACTTCTTATTATACCTATCGCTTCAGAATTGTGTTCTCGCGGATCGGAAAAAGTGGTTCGCTCCGAACAATTTCAAACATTTCAGTGTACTAAACCAGAAAATAATTCCGAATTTATCTAAGCTCTTTTGTCCGTCCGTCCGTCTTATTTTCTTCTGTTCAATCTACAGGCCGCGATTTCCGAGTTATTTTGATGAAGTTCGGTACACTGACATGTTTTCAAGCCCAAGAATGTACGCCACTGAAAATGATTTGGATCCCATATAACGCCTTATTTTAAAGAGTTGATGTATGAGCAATTGTAAAAAGTGGTGTAAGGTATTTAATGGTGGCCCATGCCCCATTATAGTATTTTTACTTTTTTTTTTTTTTTTTAATTTTCACTGTATTTTTAGGAAATTATAAGGCACCTCTATTGGATTTAAATAAAGCGCTGAGCAAAACGGTTGATGAGTTTGTGCTGGCCACGGAGACGCTCTTAAAAAGTTGCAGCATGATTATTAAGAAAGTTGATAAGAAGAAAGATCGTCAGTTAATTACACAACATCGTGAAAAGTTACTGGAACAATTAAAACAACAAACTGAACCTGCCGTCATACTTCATTTAACTGCACTGGTGTTGTTCACTACAATAACGGGATGCATTTTACATGCTTCGGGTAAATTCGTAGGGCAAATACTAGCATTCATTAAAGCATCTGTGAACGATGAACAAAATCGTTTATTAATCGATTATCAAGGTAAGGAAAAGAATGCTTAGATAGATTGAAAAAGTTAAAATAAAAATTTTGCTAGATTTGGTTATAAACGTATTACGTTTATCAAAAGAGGACGAAGAATATCAAAAATCTTTAGAGCAATTACAAGAGATGGAATCGCAAATTAAACATCTGGCCTTGAGTTTCGAAAAACCGGGCTTCGTAAAAACAGATTAAAACTGGTCTTCAAAAAATTAACATTAAAATTACTTTCTTTAATAACTAACTGACTTAAAATAAAAACGCTTTTTTAGCAATTTTCATTTCTTTATATTTGTTTACAATTTCAAAAAGGAAGAAAAAAAACAAAAAATCTTAATACTAATAATTAATTCGAATTTATTTTTAAAATTATATATACAACAGCTCATAGATCATTTCGAGAAAAAAAAGAAAATTATAAAAATGATTTTATCAAAAAAAAAAAGATACAATAATAATAAAAATAAATCTTTAAACACTATGGTGAAGTCTTTGTAGTATTAGCTTAGCCTTTTCAACAGATTGCCTACAAAAAAAAAGGAATTAAGATCAATTAGAAGAAAAAAAAAAAAAACTTACATAAATGCAGGGTTTGTAGAATCGCTGGCATCGACAATGGCTTTGATGTGCATAATGAAAGATTCCAAGGTTTTTAAAGTTTCCATATGCGGTTGCAGCCAGGCTGTAGGTAATATGTTAACAATCATGTAGGCTTTGGAAATGGCATCATTAAAAGAGCATACCTTAAATATACAACGAAAGAAAAAGAAGAATTTCTTCATTTGTGAAAACCACGTTTAAGAAATATATTTCATAACTTACCCTTAAGGCCATTAAGAGATAACGATTTAAGAGGGAATTTATCGCCATTTCTCTTAACGGTTTGTCGGCTACAATACCCTGCCAACTAAGAAAATTCCGAAACAATTTTAAACCGGTGCAAAATTGACGCTGAAAAAAAGAAGTCTTGTTCTCCTGGACCCTGGAATGAAATCAACTTTTTAATTACAGCATATATATGTTTTATTTAATTGCTTTCAATTTCTTACTGCTTAGGAAATATCGGTATGAACACATCATTCTCCAAAGCCAGTTTCATTTTTTCTAATATCGCATTAAATAATTGTTGCAGTTGTTTTGAACTTTCCTTCAATGGATAATCACGTCCCAAACGATTAATGAAACCAATTAAACGTAATGTTTTCGTAGTTGATAAAGGATCCCAACATTGATTAACAATCTCTATTTTTTTGTTTTCAAATAAGGACTACTGGTTATTGGAATCTTAAGAAATTTCTAGAGAAATCATTCATACCTGTAATTTTCGGTAAGATTATCTTTTCGATTATAGTGGGCACTAAATTGTTATCTGAATCTTGCTTTAGTGTTGCTTCAGTTTCTTCTTCATTCCAAGCATATAACATACACGCTGGATACCAATTGAGCTTTTCAATGTCTTTATAGTCGGTCAATAATGGTGACCAACTTAAAATCTCTAACCGCACTAAAGGACCTAAAACCTGCAAATGAATATTACATATTTAGAAAAATTTTCCGCTTTTCTATTATAAGATTCGTATCACTAGATCGGGGATATTTTGGTCAAGAGAAATACACTTCAAAATTCTTTTATTTACAATTGTGTTCCTTAAATGTAGTATTATTCGCAATTTATTTTTGGTAATACTTTCGACTGCTCAACTCAAATATTCTTTTTCTACTGTTCTCCCTTCCACAAACATCTTATTTATATATTTTTTTACCAGCATATTACTAGTACCTAACTTTATGGCTACATTTTTAATCCGTTAACCTGCTTTCCTGGTGCTCGTTTTCCTCGGCCGCCTGCAGCATGATGCGCTGCGAGTGTGCATCGCGCTTTAGGGATTTTGTTACTTAACTGGAATGAGCTCGATTTGGAATTTACGTAATAGAAATACACGTGAGAAGTTTGCTAGGGCATGCATGCTCAAAGTGAACAAAGCAATTCTATCCTTCTTCTCTTAATTTCGTTATTTTCCAAAAAATTCCCACAGGTAAGCAGGTCAGCCTTTTCAAATGTGTTTTAATGTTACTAGTTAACCGAGAAAAGTGTTCAGAATTGCACGGTAATTAAGGATATCGGTACTTTAAAGAATCCCTGATGCGTATCTCTGGTTACTAAAAACGAATTCACTTATTTTTCCAATTATATGCTGAGCTGTTTAACCCGTTTAGAATTGTTTGCAGACACCTGAATGATGTCTATCACTTAATCTCAACATCGGATTTTTGAAAGTCTATCAAAACAACTTTGCTTAATAGGCGCGACTTGCCTATGTTTTATTTACACGTAGCTTCTAATCTTAATAACACAAATTGGTATTGTTTACTGTGTCGGCTGCCAAGCTTTTGCATGTTTGCAATAGCTTGCGGGTTCACTTGCAATTTGGTTCTGTACTGGTTGTGGGTGTATCTCTATACTAGTTGTGTACATGCTTTAGTCTTCTCTTTTTTTTCTTTACCTTTACTTACATACGTTATGCTAGTTTTTAATATTCATTGGTATAAGATTGACTTCTAAGAGTCAATTGAATTGGACTGTTAATTTATTTTAGTTAAGTTTCATGCATATGTAAACAAAAAAATAAAGTAAATAAATAAAAATAATATATATTAAAACGGAACGGAACTAATCAGACATAAATGTTAATACTATCTAAAACTTGAGCTATCACAATGATTGTGGCGAATATTTTTAAAACAACAAGCCTTTAACTATAATGCAAAAAAAAAAGCACGAGTCAAATGAATTAAAACGGCTGCAAGCATCTACTTTCCTTCACTTACCTTAGGTAGACATAAACTGACGAAGGCGTCTTTATAGGAATCGTAATCAGTTTTACGCCAAGCATAAAACTTCTTCAAGATTATTTCAACTTTACAGAATTCATCGTTAACATCTTCAAGCAAATCCAAGGCTTCTTTATCCAGCATTTCTAATTAAATGAATGCGCAAATTATTGACTTTTTTTTTACAAAAAAAACCCTAAGCACTTTACCCAAATTATTTTGAAATTGTTCTTGATAACGGTCAGACGTCTCCTCGTCACTCGACATTCCATCCAGATGTGAACTTAGTAGGTCATTACGTTCACGTTCGCAACGACGACGAGTGCGGCGACCTTCACGTTCTGTAGCACGACGCATCTGTTCTTCGGATTCTGCGCCACGTCGCGACGAAGAGGGCTCTAAGGAAAAAGGAAACAAGAAGAGAAGTAGAGAAGTTTTCTAATTCTGAAATTGTTTATTATAAACAGACTTGCAGCTTCGGCCATTTCTTTAGCTTGATCTCTTACGTCTTGACGTCGCCGTTCGATTAGAAAATTATGATGTTTAGCAAAGAATTGTAGCATACGTTTCTCCAAGTCATTTATCAAGGGAACCTAAAGAGGATAATAATATTTTTACAGATATCTCAGTGAAAGCTTTAGTTTACCTTTTCGTTTAGACAATCAATCAAGTCGCTAACGTAACATTTAATTTCCTGATAGAAACGATATTTGGCCGCAGCTGTAGGAGCCTTTTGCTTACAATCCATTTCCTCCAATTTCAATGATTTCATTTCCTTTGCTATATGCTCGATATCATCTTGATGAGCACGATTCAATTCCTTAAGTTTACTTAAACGGATCTCTAAAGCTTCACGTATTTCTTGTGGTGTCCTTAACGACGACGATTTGGTTTTATCCTTCTTCACTTTTGATGAGCTAAGCAATTGTTGTGGCTTCTCTAAAGTGCATTTAGCGTATGCTTGCTCCAATAAACTTGAAGTTGATTTAGATGTTGGTTCATTTTCTAAAGTGTTGCTTAAACTCGCCGAAGATTTAATCATAAACCTTGATAATACCGATTCATGCTGAGCATTGACTAATTGAGCCCCTGTAACACCCTTACGAATTTGTTGATTTTCCCATTCATGTGTCTCACAATCCGAATCTTCGTCGGAATCTATAAAGAAATATAAATCATTATGCGAGTTATGAACGAATATATGATATATTTTCCCCTGTTTTCGTTTAAAATTTAAATTGAGTTAGACACACATACAGTTCTTCTCGACAGCATAAAACTGTTCACGCCTTTCTTCACGTTCTTTAACACCCGTTATAACATTCATATCGATTCTTTGCTCTTCGTCTGAATTATCCTCTTCTAAATCCTCGTGTGTCAAACGATTGCCTTTCTTTGTATCTATTTTGTGTTCCTCAATAGGTGCGCAGTCACCTGTTTACGACAAACGATTAGCAAATGTAAATTTCAGTATGCACAGACTTACCTTGTTCTCGGGCCTTTTGCCTTCTCTTCCGAGCGGCATGAATCATAGAAGCGTCAGGTATAGAACCGCTCTCTAGCATTTTTTTCAAATGATCCGGTTTATTGAAGCGGTGTTTATCAACGTGATTCCGTTCATTAACATCACCGTCATATTCATCGTCATCGGACATATCATTGCGGCCAGCACACAGAGCAGCACGTCCATTAAGAATAATATCCGGTTCAGACTTTTTAACCACCAACTGTTTGGAACAAATATTCAAAAACTTATTTTAATAAAATGTAAAAGTAACGGTTGAAAGGAGATTTTAAAGAAAACAGCTAAAAAAAAAAAAATAAACCATTTTTAAAGTCTGAATGCCAATAACAGTGCCCTCGGTATTACCCGGATTAGTTCTCTAGAACTGTTATGATTTTGCACCTGCTACCATTACCAAGTATTTGGAAAATATAAAAATATCCTAACGGATCCTAAAACCACTTCGAACACGACCGTGATGCCTTGCCTATAAGTTTTAAATTTTGCCATCATATATATTTCTTTTACAGTCATTAGCGACGTTTTCGACATTGTGATTCTATAAATGAACCCCTTTTCTGCGGTATTAGGTTAAAGTTAGTCTTTAGTTTATGTTTGGAGGTGTTATGTTACAGCAGTAGCTGCCGGCAATTTGCATATCTTATGTTACGAAAATGAAATAAGCAGCTCAAGCTTGCTAAGCAAGTTACGTTTACAGATCTGACATCTGAAGGGATGCAATTTCCTTAATTTAGTAATGTATTTATCTAATAGAATGATCATGTACTGAGGGAAATTAGTCAGAACACCTTGATTTTATGAGTACAATTAAAATAATAAAAAAAAAACTCCAACTTTCTCGAAATTGTTAAGTCAGGGAAATTTGAAATTCGAGGATATGGATTTTCTTTTAAATTTCTAAAGTAATTAGTATACACGAATATTTTAAGTTAGGTGTTTTTTTTTTTCTTTTTTCAAGTTACATTGAAAGGTCAAGTATTTGATTTTAAATAAATAAACACTTGACCTTTGGAATTTTGCTAATTTACTGGATCATAAGGAAACCAGAAAAGTTTTCTAATTACTTTTTTTCTTTTCTTGTAAAGATGTTAAGAAAAATGATAATAATAACCTTACCACAAAGTCGTCTGTGCGTATTTCAGTTTGGATTTTATCTTTATTACTTTTACGGTGTTCCGTAGAACCACCGATGGACGTAGTTGTAGAACCTAAACTATGAGTAATACTCAAACGTGAACCATTTTCACGTGTATCCCTATTATGATAAGATTGTTCCGCGTAACCATCCACCGCCATTATAGAAGTGCTCGTATCACGTTCTTCCTTTTTTTTGCGTCTACGTTCCTTATCCAACATACGCATGACTTTTTTGCTATGTGACGATTTGCGCACCTGAAATACTTCACCGTCTTCCTCTAAAAGAAATAAATAAATAATTATTTCACGCATACGTATGCATACGATTACGCCTATTACGAACCTTCATCGGCAAAACTTAGTAGAGATTTTGTAGTGCTATTATCTTTCGACGACGAGGGTTTTACCTTCATTTCCTTGTGATTTTTCTTTTTCTTTACCTTGCTAGAAATTTGTGGTGGTGGCGGCGCCTGCACCTCCAAATCCATCGCGTCATCTTGCATTTTTTCCAATTGATTGTCATTTTTAACAGCATCCTCCTCATCATCCAAAGTGCTCGTCAACGCACGTCGCTGAATTTTTTTTGGCTTACGAAACAAAGACATATCTGTTTTTTTCTTATTTTATTCACTTAATGTTAACAAAATATTTAGATTTTCTATAAGTAAATGTTCAAATTTTTCTTAGCGAAAATTATTAAATAAATTTAAAGACACTGTTTCTGTATTGCAGAATCTAAAAAAAAAAACTTGTGTTTTTTCGTCTGCATTTGTGCTGCTTCTTATTATCAATAATGTCAATATAATATTAACATGAAATTAATGAAAAGCGTACAATTGTAATTCAATAATTTTCCGAGTATTTACAAAGCTTTTCTCTTTTAAAACACGAATTTTACATTTCTTTTAAAATTTAGCAATTTTATAAACCTTTTTACGGACCTTATTACGGATTAACGTGCTATTTTCATTTGATATAGTCGCGACGAGAAATATACAGAAATATTCAGAGGCAAAGTACATGCAATAAACAAGAGATCTTGATTACAGAAGAGTGGAATGATTTAATACATCACAACCAATATATCAAGATTAACTTACGAAATGGACCCATTATCCATCCAATATTTAAAAAAAGTGTAACCGATACTTTTCTTAGACTACAATCTCAAAACTTAACTAGAGTTTTTGTGAAACCGTTAAAAGTTTTTCAGATGCTTAATTCTCAACGCAATGGTGCGTTATTCTGTATTTTGGGTTAACAAATCCCAAGTGGTAAACACTATGAGAAGGCCTGCTATCCTGTTATTTGATAAAAAGACTAAGGAAATCGTTGTCGATATAAACAAAAACATATGTATATATTAATAATATTTAAAAGAATAACGTGGACATATAACAGGCAAAATTAAAAAGACATTAATCAAATAAATAATAATCACTGTATGTCAAATCTGACCCTAACTTTACTAAGACTCAAACAAAAAACTCTGTGTCCACATTGGGATTTTTTAAAACACCTAAACACGAATTACGATTTTTCGTTTTCTGAATAGAAAAACAAGAAGAAGAAATAAAAACATATGGTTTGAGAAGTAAAACTAAAGAAATCAACGTAAACGTCACCAATAAATAAATAAATACATGAGGAGCATTGATAAAAAGATTTATGTGAAAGCAAATTAAATTTTTGTCTGATTCATACGTTTCGGAAAAATATAAAAATACCATTGATGATTTTTTTTCTTAGGTTACTGGATTATGGATCTAAATTGAATTAAACAGGCCTAATCCATATCCAAGCAAAGAAAAAAAAAAGATATGAAGAAAAATAACTTTAAAAGAAGGAGTATAGAGGAGGACTTTACCAATGAAGTAAAAATAAAGCAAAAAAAAAAATTTTTTTTAATTATTTAGATTTGACAAATGTATTTAAAATTGGCAATAAATTGTTTTCATCGCTTATTTTTCATTCTTTAAAAAACTTTTAAATAATATAACGTAAAAGAAGATTTAAATTAATATAAAATAAGCATCATTTAAATGAATACGTTATTGTGTTGAAGCGCTCAAACTTGAACCGTCGTCGAAATTAGCTTTCACTTCCGTAGCTAGTGAACAGCTGAAAGCGAAAGTTAAAGTTTTCATACGTGATACTGCCAAGATAATGATTTCTAGGTATTCCTTGGCAGAACGGACTAACGCGAAATGTGATCTCAAGAGGTTAGGAAGATATTTACGTTGCCACTGTTATATTCAGCCAGCTTTCCTTTACTTATAAAAAGTCACAGTGAAATTCGAACCTACAATAATTTTATTATTGTTAGTGTCTGTTAACAATCAGACGTTTGCATTGTGACCAACCAGTTAAAATAGCCACTGTGTGAAAGAACCGTTACCACAAATATGAAGCTGTCGACTTTAGATTCCCTATGCTATACCCTATGAGCGGCATTGTAATAAAAAATTGACCAAGGCTATTAAATTTTTTTTCAATACTTGCATAAAGCGTAGAGGCAAGCTTCAAAAACCCTATTAAGTTTACAAATTCTTGGTCAGTTTTAGATTTAGAATGCACCTAAACATGTCAGTCTGTCCCTCTGCTCGGTTGCCCAACTGTGTAGTGTCTGTGGTACACATTTCCGAAAGTACATCTGCCTTTTCTGCTTGGATGTAAGAAAAGTTTTCATTTTTATGAAATTTAAAAAGAATCCGTTTTAAAATGTTAAAAAAAGCACAGAACAGTCTATCGCGGTCCTCAAAATTTGCGAAAATATGTTAGACTTGTGTTTGGTTTGTAATTGCAAAACTTTACTTGAGTTCTTATCTAACGTTAACGCTTCTCTCAAATACGTCGAGTTCGAGGTTAAAAAAACGACAAATTCGAAATCTTATGTCATAAGCCCCCGAGGTGAACTAAAGTGAAATCCAAAGGCTGAATTGATCTACTTAACCCATTCATAAGTAAAATCTTACATAGCGATTTGAAAACTTTGGTTACTCACTATTGACATGTGAATCAAAGCGAATCACTAAACCGAATTAACAACCGTACTCCGGCATCGTGACCAGTCACTAGTTATAAATGAAAATATGGTCCTTGCTTGTCAAAGTTTTGTGACTTTGTATCAATTTTGATATTCCGCAACAATTCTCCCAATTAAACTCTCCAATAGCAAGTCATTAAGCCTTTCAAGCTAGTAGTGCTAGTTAATATATGCCCTTGATTTGGAGTATGGCGAATGCGTTGTTATCAACACAACTCATGTGAAGCATTATGGTGAAGTTCTTGCGCGCAGTGTTGCCTTTTTTTTATTTTTTTTAAATATTAATATAATGAAAATTTCCCGAAATTCCTTAAATTCCGTTTAGGACACTATTAAAAAAGTAAGGAAGACCATTGAGCCTTACTCAGACAAAATTAAAGTGTATTGTGTATGGTGCTATATTGGTCTTTTGGAAAATGAACGTGTAGACCTAGCGGCTAAGTCCCCGTCTTCAGCGCCGCTAATTACTGAGGACGACTGGTCTGTAACCATCTAGTCTCTCCACAAAAGAACAGAAAAACCGTTAGTATTAGTTGTTAGTACTTATTGTACGTTAGCCGTAGAATTTGTTTCAAATAAATAAGTTATAATTAACTAAATAAGATTATATTATAAATATAAATGTTTGCTCATCCAATGCATGCACGTGGAGCTACCAATAAGACTCACACGTTGATAAGCAAACACTTGAAAAGAGAAAACTCATTGTACGAATAAATCTCAGTATGACTTGGTGTATTGTGCATAGATTATTGAAAGTGTATGCGGAGAAGGAAGGAAAATAATTGCAATATAAAAGTTGTGCATTAATTTAACTGTAAAGATTATCGCTAATAGTCATAGTAAGAATGGGTCTTAAAGGTTGTGAAATAGTTTTGGATAATCCTTGGAACACTTATTATGCTGGACAAACTATTAACGGAAAAGTGAATTTGACGTTCGATTCAACGAAAAAAGTTCGAGGTATGTCAGCTGATAAGTTTAATATTTTTTATATTAGTAATCATTTTGAGAAACAGAATAGAATACATCGTCATCATCGGCATGATCATTATGATCACAATAATAGCAATTGTATGATTTGGCGGTCGGTTTAGTCAATGTTGGCTAAATATAGGAAACATTTGCTCTTACATTTTTTTTTTTCAAAGTGCATCGTTCACTTCCTACTTTTTCGTGCTTGAGTACGTTGAATTGATGTCTGTTTCTTATACATAAAAATCGAAGGAAGTATTAACTGTATGCAGTCTAGGAAGTATATTTATTCCAAAAGCAAGAGTATACGTAATTATGACACGGGTAATGCCGGAAATCTGAATGCATTTCAAATTAAAGCTACTGTATCCTTATTCCTTGCTGGCGAATGATGGTTTCAAATTGTTTATTTACCTTGCACTTCCTATGTAAGGCATGTCGATTTTAAGGACTGGAATTCATTGGAGAATCATGCTAGCGACGAAGGAGTGGCAATCTGTGAGAAACTAGTTCGTAAATTGCGCTTGAAATACAATCCAAGCTTGCTGAGTGATCCTGAATAGATCATCATCATTTGACGTTGAATTGTGTTCCGTAGCCGTTAGATCAATTGTGGTATCTTCGGCGGGCTCTTCCGCAGAAGAACAACCGGAACTGCTGGCTAGTGCTTGCTCCAAACTCTCCCGGGGTTTGGCGAAACTTGGTATTACCGCCTCACGATTCTCTGAACCTTCGGGGGGAACTGAGCAGAAGTGTTAGCGCTCCATGATAACTTGTTGGAAGCACCATTTGAGCCCTGATAGTCATGTGCGTCCCATCGGAGACGCCCTTCGCTTGTTTTGCGAGGGCATTACATAATTCGAGATGCCGATAGTTTTACGCTGAAGTAGTCTGCGTTTTAGCCAACGACAACATAAAAATTGCTAATATGGAATAATAATACGGTTTTTTTATTAGAGGTATCTGGGTGCCAGTCCCTTGCGTTCTTGGCCAATTTGTTATAATAAGAATGCGATTTATGCCCATTGATTTTTAAGCCCAAACTTCCAAACTGGAATTCCATTTCAGGTATAACAATACGTTTTTTGGGTGAGGCAAACACACAATGGTCAAACAGGCGACGAGTTACTAACAGCGCAGTTAGAGGTGAACACGAAACTGTTTTCTACAGGGGTCATGAAAAGTATTTCCAAATACAATATTACTTGCTGGGTGGCAAAAACAGTAAATTAAATAAAAAATTTATTGTTCAAGAATTTCTGTTTGATTTCTCTTCCTCTAAAGGTGCTGAAATTGAATTACCTGCTGGTACTCACACTTATCCGTTCACTTATGCTTTGCCGCCTATTCTACCTTCGTCGTTTGAAGGTCAATTCGGACATGTACGCTACACCATTAAGGTTACTTTGGATCGTCCTTGGAAATTTGATCAGGATATGAAAATGGCCTTCACTGTTATAGCACCAGTGGATTTGAACTCGAATGCTTGCGTCAAAGAACCATTTAAATTAGAGTTAGAGAAAACTTTTTGTTGTTTTTGCTGCCGTTCAGGACCATTATCCGTTTTAATTACTATACCGGTTACAGGTTATGTATCTGGTCAAGTTATACCTATTATATGTGAATGTGATAATGGCAGTAATGTTAGCATCACAACAGTCAAATTCGCATTAAGGAAACGCGTCACTTTCCTTACGCAACGGCCGCACGCGGAAGCGAAAGTATCAGAAATCACTATTGCGAAAATCGCTGTAGGACCGATCAGAGCTAATGAATCTCGTACATTTAGCCAACAATTGGAAATACCTCCATTGCCTCCAACGAATTTGATGCATTGCGGCATCATTACCTTGAGCTATGATTTACAAGTCAAATGTAATGTTAGTGGGCCACATAGTAATTTAAGCGGCAATATTCCAATAACATTAGGTACTATTCCGTTGGTTTCTTTTAAGCCACCGCCTCCGTGCCTAGATATGCCATCCAAAGTATCAACACAGGAACGTGACAATTTATCGATGGGACTTACACAAGTCGTGAATGTAAGTAGTTCTTCCTATGGGACAGGCGGTGCACTGGGCTGGCATGCAGCTGATTGTGATGGTGTTCAAACCCATTCTAATATACGTAAGTATAAACTACTATTCGAAACTTTTTCAGAAATTTTTTTCAAGATCGCAGGCTTATCGAGATTAAAATAAGATATGGAGTCAGGTAGTGAAGGGAGTTATGTTGGCAATTCTTAAATTTCTCGACTCAATTATTATTTGTATAGAGGTACAAACATTTTTGTTATCATGGGTTGAGATTTCATTAACTACTATTAACTCATTAATTCATTAGCAGCAGTAATTATGACCTCTTGCTCTTGTTACTTCAATCATATTTTTCCATTTTTGATAAAAGCGATAACGTTTCTGCAAAAAGGTTCTTTTTCATGAAAATCTAGATATTCTTGGCCAAGTGCTACACCGTACAAATGTGAATATCTTCAACGTCTAAACTAAATCGGTTTAAAGTTCAATTATAAAATTATTTTTAATAACCATTCTGTCCTTCTTCCAGCTCCTCCCAAATTTTTGGAGAGCCAATTCAAGGCACAGAAAATTATCGGCCATGATGACTCGGAGCTTACGAAGGTGATAAATGATGCTTTCGCACCCCGATATCCAACATTCCAGTTTGCTCCTAGTGCTCCACCCATGCTTAATTAAAAATAATGAACTCGTTCTTCTCTTCGTTAATTAATTTTATAATCTTCTTTTGTTTATAAAATCGGCAATAAGTGCATAAAATTGTTTGGTTTTCAATAATTTTTGTCGTTTTTAATAATGTGTAATGTGTAATTGAAAAAGAAAAAGTAAATGTTGATACGCTACAAGTTCTCAAACTTCAATAGGCCAACCGATTATCTGTCGCAGTGCATGCACTAGTGCACGTCATGGAAATGCTATTCGAACGAAGTTTCAACCTATCGAAGCTACGAAGTATATTAGACGTTTAAAAAAAGTTAAACAACCGCTGTCTTACGATATCTTTAGGAATGAGGATTTAAAATCCGTACCTATCGAGCAGCTAAAGCATTCTAAACCTTAGTAGCTCTTGGTGCACGAAAGCGCATCAACATCAACGAAGGCTCATTGAAGATTTTTTACCCAAATGGAATTTGAAGTTGGCGCATAATATGAAGTGGTTTAAACTAAATACTGAAGGAAATGAATATAATATACATGTTCATCTTCAGCTTCACCCAAATCGATGTCCCACGTTATAAAGTGGCCCTTTTCATAGCCGTTTAACATAGCTGAGGGCCGTAATATTTGGCAACAAATTTGAAGGCTTTTAAATAAGGAACCATTACCATTCCCAACCCACCCAATAGGCACTACCAGAACAAGCTAAACTCAAAAGATCACTAGATGAACCCAAAATCAGTAAAACAAATCCAAGGTAGTCGAAATAATTTTGAGTGAAAATGTCAACAAATTAAAGAACGGACGAAGTATTCTTGGCTCTAAAGGAACCCATAAATTTGTTTATATAAAAAGTACTATGTGTGGAGAATGAAGAGAGCACAGCGTTGCTTTTAATAAGTAATAAATAAATAAGAGAAATGATAAACAAAAAATCTCTCTCATCTGTTAAATCGAACGAAAGAACAGAAACTGCATGACAACACCTGTTAAATGGGACGAAGTGATGAAAAAAAAATCGTAAATCTCAAAGAAAAAAAAAGAAAAACAATTTGTTAAGTTGTGATAGTTTAAACTGGATACAGACATTTTACTCAAAAAATTTGCCAAACATAGTGATATTTCAATGGATAACATTGTAACGAAAAGTTCATAGGGTTCAAATCGAAGAAAATTAAAATCTCAACGCTGACGAATTTGTATAAACAAAGAAAAATTAAAAAATAAATAAATAAAAGAAAAAGTAATTTATATAAAATATAAAAGTAAATTTAAATTTCAAACATTTTAAATAATCAAAAAACGAAAAGTATTACCGAAATATTTTTAAAGAAAAAAAAGTTAATAAAACTATTTAAAATTGAAAAAAAAAAATTTTTTTTTTAAATTGTGAAGAAAATTAAAGAAAAAATTAAATAAAATTAAAAATGAAAAAGTAAGAAATGTAATAAAAGTATTATTTTTTTTTTTTTTTTTTGTTTTTTTTTTAATTAAAACTACTTCTGACGTGTGACAAATTTAAAAACGTTTTTAAAAAATTTCGTTCGAATTTTATAAAAATTTCGCCGTCAGATCGAGAAAGGAATCGCTGAATTTGCATTATAAAAACGGAAGATGTTTTTTTTTTGAATTTCAGCTACGGAAGTGAAATTAAAATTTAAATTTCAACAAGTTAAAGTTATAGTTCCCTTAATAAGATCTTTACCCTTTATATGTGATGTAATGGGAATTTTTCATTTATTTCGCGCAAATAATTTAATTAACATTGTAACGTCAATCCGTCCTCTACGATTTTACTTTTTTGTTATTTAACCCCTTTTGATATTAAGTTCGTACTTCTGAATAGTGACTTTTAAGATAGCATAGGTTCTATTTACAAATAATTTACAGGAATTTATTTTTGCAACGCTCGAATTCTCATTCTGGTCTTGTCCTTTCGAATATTACAATCCGACTAGCCCGACATCTTACAAGCAAGTTATCATTACCTAATCCGTTAATCAGTTTTTCTGCTAAATTTCTACCAATTGTTGTTATTCCTTTCGCCAGTCGCGAGCTACGTGACGCAGGTGTATCTGATTTTCATCTTCTTTAGAATTCAGTTTCTTAGAAAATCGCGTCAAAAATCTGGTTCAGTATTGGAGATCTCTTCACGTACATAACGTTTAAGAACTCGGAATTGCGGTAGATTTTCTACTGTAGCTAAAATTTTCAAAATCATAAGAAAACATCTGGAGTCGTATAGAGAGCTAATTACCGCAAATCAAAATCATCGCGTTAAAGTTCCAACTACGGTGGAGTTTTCAATAAGCCCAATAGCCCTAGATGCTAGTGCTTTAGAATTGTATTCTTGAAATTTACTTTACAAGTTAAAATAAACTAGTGAATGAAGACTTTTCTCAAATTAAACAATCGTCTTATTTTTCAGCCAAGTTGCTTTTGGCCGAGCGCACATTGAGTTTTTCGTAACTAAAGGATTTTTTTATACTTTCCTATTAAGCGGGTTACTGTTAATTGATCCGGAGACATCCTCTGCTCTCGCTGTATGTCCCAAATATCTACTATAAATATCTTAAATTTCTGAAGTACATTCATAGGCTTAGTAAAATTGTAAAATTGCTATTAATAATCGTTTTCTCTTTTCTTCAGCTCCTTCACAGCTTGCGGAAACTCAGCTCAAGGTACCGAGAACCATCGATCGTGACGACACGAAACATCTATCATATAGCACAAGTGGTGTGGCGTATAACTACCATTTTTAAACCGTACGTTTTATTTAATCTTTAAAATAATTGATTGCGGAAGAAATGCAACTTGATTTATAATTTTTCTGATCTATTTTTGTTTGTATATAAAGAAAACGTATTATTATTCGTAACATTTAAAAAAGGATTATGAAACAAGTTGTTCAAATCATGGGAGTAATCATGTAGCTGAAAGGTAGCTTTCTATTTTGCAAAAACGACACATGTTTTCTACCATTTGCTACTTAAATATACTAATTAATATACTACTACGCTTTTATAAAACAGCTGAATGCGAAAATGAAAGCGAATTTTAGTTACGTGATTACCTCTGTTGAGTTTCGGATTTTGAGGGCTTCAACACTGTGATGCGCTATATTATTTTTTGCGAAACCTCGTGGAAATTAGCAAATCATATGCAAACACAAATAAAATAACAAGAAAAAGATAACATATAAGGACAATTTATTTATTTAATTTATACTTAGTTTTGCACTGTTGAAGTGTCAATCAAAACGGATCGCTATGCATTCGTTTTAAATTATTGTACACATTTAACTTGTTAGGGAGGGCATCTCTGATCCGCTAAAATTAAAAAGGGTGAAATTGGCTGAAAGTATGCAACATTGTTTTCGGCACAGTGTTTATAAAAAGTAACAGTGCAATTCTTTCGTATAGTGATTTTTTTTTTTTTGAAATGTTTGCTCATCTTACATACGCACGCAGGGTGTGTTGTGCATAAATCATTGAATTGAAAGTGTGCGGAGAAGAAAGAAAAAATAATATTAATATAAAAATTGTGCATTAATTTTTAATTTGTAAACATTATCACTAATAATTGTAATTGAAAATAATGGGTCTTAAAGGTTGTGAAGTGGTTTTAGATAATCCATGGAATACTTATTATGCTGGACAAACTGTTAACGGACAAGTGAATTTGACATTCGATTCAGCGAAAAAAGTTCGAGGTATGTGAGTGAATACGTATATGCGAGTAGACCTTCACACAGGCCCAAATATTTAATGCGGATTAGTCATTATTTTTAGAAACACATTGTCATTATTATAATAACGATTATAGTAATCTTATGGTCTGATAGTTTGTTTGGTCAATAGTGATTAAATATTATTCTTCCTTAAGCTGTTGAAGGAATTTTAGAATTTTTTGTTGACTTTGCATGTTTTTTTTTTTCTCTTTTAAACCGGGAGCGATATGTGAAATATGAGAAGAAATATTCATGTGAAATGTATATGTGTTTTTGCAAGCATTATCTTTACACACAAGAATTCGTCTGCAGTTTAACTATATACGCGAATATGTATATTTTTTTTAGTGTAATTTTTTGTATTGTCTTTAAAAGCCGGTTGTTCTGGTATAGGTCTGGTATATAGTTGCCATTATGCGTGTATGTGTGTGGGTGTGTGTTTTGTGGGAGCAAAGATTCGCAACTTTTATAGATAGATATGTTTGGGCAATGTCATTGACCCAAGAATACTTAGCCATACTCTCCTCACACAATGGTCTCGATTATCAAGTTTCCAAACATTTTTTACACTATTTAAGCGGATATTCATAAACAAATCGGATGGTCATTGAGCGTAGACCTCTACATTATCGATTAATTAGATTTATTTGCTAAATATACGCTCTAAATAATCGCATATAATAACAATGCTTTAGTCTGTGAAATCATCATCGAAAAGAATTGATAAGCTAAGACGAGAGGTATTCATGTGTATATGTGCGTGCGCTTGCATGCAAAATACTTAGATATTTATAATGAAATGACCTTGGATGCTAATAATGATGTCATTTAGAAGAACTTTTTTTTTTTATAGCTTTTTATATTTTTTTTTATGATAAATTTTTTTATTAACTTCAGGTTACATATGTGCGCAACGTATAAATATAAATATTCGCTAAGGAGATTTTAGAATATATGATAAGCGTGAATGGAAAAATCGTGTTAGACATGTCCGTCTATCTGTCCTTCTGTTCATTGTAACCTCAAAACTTTTCCTTTCTCATAAAATTAAGTGTAAAAAATTAGCAAAATAGGTCTACAAGTACATCTAAAATTAACGAAAAAGTATTTTTTTGCTTTATTTTTTCTTCAATTACGGTCGTAAAACGATAAAGTTTTCTTTAATGGCATACAAGGCTTTTAAAAGGTGAAAAAGGAAATTTATTGTAATTTTTATACTATGCACTACTTGAGACACATTACTTATATTAAGTTCGCGCCGACATATGCAACATCCAGAAGAACTTCGATGCTTCGAAATAGGCTCCTCCGTCCGTCTTATTTCGTGTCTTCAACCTGCAGGCCGCAATTTTTGTGATATCTTCACGAAATTTGGTGGTTCGGACCGGACAACTTTTCCTACCACTTCTACAAAACCTCATTTGAAAGAATTGTTATAAGTCGTAGGGCGTTATAATGGTGAATTGCGGCCCTTTATATATATATTTTTTTTTAATAAAGCAAATATTTTGAAAAAGTTTCGTTTAAAAATTTTGAAACTTCAGCAATTAGGTCGTGGATTTCGGATGACCACAATAACACGAGGCACCTCTATATGAAATTAAGCAACACTAAATATTTTCGGTTAGCAAATAAGAATGATTCGTTCTTGAACGCTGGGTTAAAAAGTAAAAAGTAAAAATGTGAAGAAAGTATAATCCTCGGGAAAATTCGTATCACACATTGCCTTGTAAAATAAGTGATGATCGAAGAAGAAAGAACCAATTCATTCAAGTACTGACCAATGGAATTTAGAGGAAATGTGCAAAATTTCCATGACATCACCCCTTAACTCCTCGAGTTAAAAAATAAACTTTTAGTCCCATTAACTTCGAGCTTTTCGAAAATATTCTTGACATGTGGTACTATTAGGTTAAGAGACAAAGAGATTTCAAAATACATCATGCAATTTTTTTGCCTTGCAATACCCTGTTGAAACTGGCAAAGCTTGCAATGGAACTGAAAGACGTGTTGACCTTTGATGTCTTTAGGTTGTTAGCATTTTTCCAATTTTGTTTTTCGCCTATCAAGAATCCTTTTCAGGATTTTTTTGCTGTTTTCTGGTGTAAGCAAGTCTTTAGGACGTGCACTGCGTTCGCAAGCATCGGTCGGCGGCGCTCGTACGACCTCGTTTAAAATTAGAAAGCTATCAATAGTTGATGTTTTCACGTCAATGCTAGGCTTGAGCGATATTTTTTTCCATCAAAAGGCATTGTTGGGTAAGAAACAAAAGAAATAACGATTTTTCTGTTGTTTTGAAAGTAAAAAAACTAATGTAAAGAAATGATCGGATTGATATGAAACGTTATTGACAGACGTCGTTTGAACCCTCGGCCTTAGAGAAAACAACAATGAGCCATAATATGAAGTTTTCATTACAAATATTTATTTGTCAGTCCCGGGAGCTATTGATCGATTTATTGCGATCGAACGCTTTCCAAAACTTAAATTTTTTAATTTTTAATTTAATTTCAGGTATAATAATACGCTTTTTGGGCGAAGCAAATACCGAATGGTCAGACACTCGACGAGTCACTAACAGCGAAGGCAGAGACGAAGAAGAGACTGTTACCTATAAGGGTCATGAAGAGTATTTCCAAATACAATATTACTTGCTTGGCGGCAAAAATAGTAAATTAATTATATTATTATTATTTTATTATTATTATTATTATTTTAATTTTAGACTAATGAATTGAATTCTTAGACTAAAAAAAGAGACATTAATTATAAAATTTATAATTATTTCATTACTTCAATTTGATTTCTCTCCCCTTCATAGGTGCTGAAATTGAATTACCTGCTGGTACTCACAATTATCCGTTCACTTGCGCTTTGCCGCCTACTCTACCTTCGTCGTTTGAAGGTGAATTCGGTCATGTACGTTTCACTATTAAGGTTACCTTGGATCGTCCTTGGAAATTTGATCAGGATATGAAAATGGCCTTCACTGTTATAGCACCAGTGGATTTGAATTTGAATCCTCGCGTCAAAGAACCCTTTAAATTGGAATTGGAGAAAACGTTTTGTTGTTTTTGTTGCCGTTCAGGTCCGTTATCCGTTATAACTACGATACCGGTTACAGGTTATGTATCTGGACAAGTTATACCTATTACATGTGAATGCGATAATGCCAGCAGTGTTGGCATCACAACAGTCAAATTCGTATTAAGGAAGCGTGTTACTTTCCATACGCAACAACCGCGTGCAGAAAAGAAAGAATCAAAAATCACAATTGCTGAACTTGCAATAGGACCGGTCGGGGCTAATGAATCTCGTACGTTTACGCAACAATTGGAAATACCACCACTGCCACCAACAAATTTAGTAAATTGCGGTATCATTGGTTTGGACTATGATTTACATGTCGAATGTAGTGTTAGTGGACCACATCGTAATTTAAGCGGCAATATTCCTATAACATTAGGTACTATCCCTTTGGCTTCCTTTAAGCCGCCGGCTCCATATACGGATGTGCCAGCTCAAGTACCTACACAGCCAGGTGAGGATCCATCAATGGCACCTACACAACCCGTGAGTCCAGCTAGTCCTCCCAATGGAGCGGGCGGCGCTTTGGGCTGGAATGTTGCTGATAGTGCTGGCGCTCAACTCTATCCGAATATACGTAAGTTTCAGTTACTATTCGAAATTTTTTCAAGAATTTCCTTCAATTAAGTATTTTTATTGGAATGAACACAGAACATGGAGTGAAGTAGTAAATAGGGTCATGCAATATCTATATACTAATAATTAAGCCTAGAAAATGCTTAAATTTTTTTATCGTAGGCTGAGATTTCGGTATCCGTTCTATTATAATAGTAATAGCATTTACGGCTTGTTTAATATAGGTGGTTACTGCATCAGTATAGTGTGTATAAGTATGAATGAGTGCTTTATTATATGAAATGAGTTTCTGCTTAATGTTAAATTCTTGTTAGACCAATTACACGCTCTTCGTTCTTTCCTAGTAAAATAACTGAATTTGCATGAAATCAACCGATGAACTTTTTGAAAATTCTTGACTACTAACGATATAAGCTACACTGTTAAATTTTAAAATTATTTTTTAATAATTTAATTTATAATTTTTTTTTTTTCTTCAGCTCCTCCACAGTTCGTGGAGACGCAATTCCGGGCTCCAAAAATTATCGGACGTGATGACTCGGAGCATACTAAGGTGATAGGTGATGCTTTCGCACCAAGATATCCAACGTTTCAATTTAATCCTAGTGCTCCACCCATGCATAATTAAAAATAATGAATTTGTTTCTCATTTGTCATTTTTTTTTTTTTAAGCGCACAAACTTATTTGGTTTAAAAACCAAACAATAAAGATTTCCTTCATGTTTAGAGAGGCATGTAAAACCGTCCTTTTGTCTGTCTTGATTAGTTAGTTATCAGCTTCCCTTTAATTCGAATTTTAAAACATTTATTATTGTATATATAGAGACTTAAATTTAAGCAAAAATTTTATTTTATTAAAATTAAAAAATGAAAAAAAAACGGAATTTTAAAATCAGATAATAGCATGTAACATGTATAGAACTTTTACTTTTAGTAAAAGCTTAGATTAAAAAAAAAAAAAAAATTGCGATCATCATATAACTTGTTATTCGTTATACTCTTTACTTTTTTTTCTTATCATATTAAATCACTTTTTTTTTTTATCTAATATAATAATTCGAGTAAATATATTAAGAAAATCCTATTAAAATAAGTTCTTAATCCTTATAAGATATTAAGTCAAACCGAGTAGCAATCTGATGATTTTCCAAAATCGAAAACATTTCGCAAAGACGATACGAACTTTTTAATAACGGTAGTTAGAAAGAAAAAGAAAATTGAAGAAAGTATTCTTCAAATTGTGTTATTGTTTGCATAAAAACTTTTGAGACGTGACGAGATGTGATGATATAGAAGATTTCATACGGATTTAATTTACACATCGAAGGCGATCATTGCTGGTTCCTAAAAATTGTTCCTTGGATCCGGGCTCCGTGCTACATCCTTATATTTAAATAAAAAAAAAAACCCTTCGAGGCAGGTGTATATGATCAGGTAGCAGACGTCGTATGAATCCAGCTTACAAATCGGAGATGGTCATTATGCATGAGTATCTAAAAATCGTTTCGAGCTATATCATACAGTTATTTATAACAATTCGAACTTTTTCACGCCGGATCAAATTTCTCGCTTATCGTCACAGTATCACAACAACTGTCAGTGATACAAGGGCATATATTGCCGGATATTGCCGTGATATTTGTAAACATTGCTATGGTTGACTGGAAACGTAAGGTAAAGAAATTGGAACAACGGCAACCAAGGCAACGTTACAATGCTGAAAAAAGAATTTGAAAAGCGGGCACGTTGTTCGCACTTCTTTGATCGGAGCCAATGACGAAATTAATAAAATTTTTTCTTTTCCTCTAATAGAGCGAAATTTCTATTAAACTTCTCTACTTGAATACTGTTTCTCGAGTAAAATCGCTTCCTTCGCTTGGCCTTAAGTGCTGCTTCATACAGGGGTATATATTACCGGTTTAGCTCACAGATCGCAGAGCTTTATCTAGATAAGATAATTTTTTGCAATTATTATGTCCTTCTTGGGCTTATGTAACTTTTTCAGCAGTGTTAAAGTATTAAAGGCAACACAAATTAAAGTATATATGTACATGATAGTTTTTTGGATTTAATCCATTTCAGTTGAAATACGCTCCCATTGATGCTATACTTTTCACAGAAACAAAACAGATTTTACAGATTTCATTTTACTTTTTCTCTTTTACTACTTGCAGACTGGCTTTCATACACAAAATTTTCTTATAAAATTATTTTTCTAGCTACACTTCAGTTCATTTCCTTACCATCATTCATGTTTCTTGTGGCAGCATATGTATGATGCCTTTCATGGTACCTGTCTCCTGCTTGTAAGCTGATTCGAATGCGCTCAATGCATCTACCGAGTCATACCGACGGTTTATCAAATTTGATAAATCGTATTTGCAGTGAGCAGCTATAGCAGAAGGAAAGCTTGGAAACCGAAGAAAATGTCCATATCCAAATGCCAATATATATATGTATACAAGTACTCGTGCACTTACTCATTGCAGTAACGAAAGTTAGCCGTAATCTCTACTTCTCGCATCACATCATCCATTAGGGGAAGGTTAGTAAAGTTATCGGAAGCGATACCTACCAAACAGCAAGTGCCACCCCAACCTGCCGACTGTAATTAGAAATTAATAGCTTGTTCGAATATCTGCATCATTGCTTTCGTCTTTTTTTTGTTTTGTGAAACTTACGCGTATCGAATGACTCTTGCGAACCAATTAAAGACTTTATCGGGTATGCATCGCATGCATTCATGAATATGAATGTTTTGCGCGATTTCATTGCACTCCCTCCCATCCTTATCCCCTAATGTCGTTGTCTTGCTTCCAAATGCTTTAGCCATTTCTAAACGATGTTGATTCTTGTCGGCGGCCATAACTTTCGCAGCTCCAAAAAGTTGGACAAACAGTAGCTACACCGATTGGAACTGCTACTGAAATTAATACATTCGAACTTAATTGAACTTTAGCTCGCCGAGCAGCAGATACGCCCACGGTTAATGGTTCACAGAGGACTCCCTCTTCCATTGTAAGGTCATCGGGCAGTTTGTGGCACATATCGGCGTCTTGTGTGAAGTAATTTTGAAGTAAACCATCTGTAGGCGGACACGAATGAAATTGCATGAACGTGCACAAATTGTAACGATCACGTCGACATATTTCGCAATCGCGACAAAATTTGCCCGGTCCAATTGTGACGTGATCGACTGCCCGGAGATTTTTTACTTTTCTACCTAAATCGCACACCACACCTGACGTTTCATGGCCCAACACCACCAGCCCTTATTTCGCCCTCTTGCCAATGATGAATACCTGAACCGGAAATACCAACGCAATCCGTAGCCAATAGGACATCTAATAAGAAAAAGTTTAAAGAAATATTTAGTTTTTTTTTTAAAAATCACTTCAAAAATCTTACCTCTAGGTTCAATTGCCGGCATTGGTCTCGGTTCGAATTTTTAATCTTGTTTAGCGCAAAAAACAACGCTTAGGTTCTCCGCACTTGCTATTCTTTTTTTGCCTATTTTTGAACAATAATTTTTTTGAAAGTTTGAAAATAATTTCCGACAATTTCTGATAATAATTGCGGATAACCGATTTAGCATGATTAAAGAATGAAAAATTTCGCGTATATAATGAATATTTGAAAAAAACAAGACTCCTTAAGAGAAATTTTGAAATTTGATTAATAAACATTCGAAAATAATAATAAAGCAAATAATCGAAATAAAAATTTTTTCTCGTATAAACACGAAGCTTGGATAAAAAAGGAAAGAATTTTACGCAAAAAAAAAAAAAAAATTTTTATTTTTATACCCTACAATCGTCTATTGTGCGAAGGCATAGATAGATATTAAGCCACATCCAGAAGTACTTGAGATAAGCACATGTTTTATTATACCAATCGATTTAGAGTCATTCTCTGAATCAATCCAATCCAATTGTCCGTCCCTATGTCTGTCCCTTTTGTCTTGTTTTCAATCCTGAGGTCGCAATTTTCGCAACATTTTGACGAAGTTTGTTACTTTGACATTTTTTGGTCCAGGGCGCAAGACGGTATTGAAAATTATTTAGTTTTGATCATCTTTTCGACCATTTCCAATATAAGGACTTATTTTTAATGCTTGTTATATGATTAAACGTATTAAGCGAAATGGTGTAGGGTATTTAAGAGGGGGTCACGATTCATTTAGAGTATTTCTACTTGCTATTGATTTAAGAAATTCTCCAAAATTAGCTTTGATTTGAGAAATTTAGCTGAGATGACTGAGTTTAAATCTGAATGCGGTAAGAGAAAGACCTCTGTTAGGAGAAGTGACCGTTGACGAACGTTTTGTTTTCCAAAGACAAATCATATCCGTCCGTCCGTACCACATTTTCGAACACTTCCCATATAAGGTCTTTCATTGAAGAGTCCTCATAATAAAAATTATTGCAATTTTTTGAATTTCGCGACAAAAATCGCTTAGCAATAGTATTTAGGCATTCTAAAGCGATGTGACAGCAGTGAACCGGATGAGACAATTTTTTGAAATCCTTGCCATATAATACACTCAAAAGTCGTTATATGAATAACTATATGAAGCGAAGTGGTGTAGGGTATTTTAGAGTGTCTCGTGCCCCGCTATACTGCTTTCACTTGGTATTTTTTTTTTTTTTTTTTTGAACAACAAAATTCTTAATAAGAATTTCATTAGATCTCGACTGCTGTATAACTTAAATTTATATATTTTAAAACATTAGCTTTTGTAAATATAAACTTGAATTTTAGAAAAGTTTTTATTTTACTAATAAAAGAAAAAAAAACAAAATAAAAGAATTTTAAAATAATAGCAAATCGAAAAGTCACTTATTATATAACTATACTAACGAAATTCGAAGCTTTCTTTGTATATTTTTACTTTACTCTCTTATATAACATAAAAAAATAATTTTTATATCTATAAACTTAAAGTATATTAATGTTTTGTTATTTTCAATCAATTAAATATGTTTTTAAAGTTTTCTTAAATAAATATTGTTAGTCAGCGAAAGTCACCAGTCAATCAAAAGAACTGAACTTGTATTACTTTCTAGCATAGTTTTGGATTGAATGCAAAACACGTTGATGTGAGTCTCGTCAACATACGGAACATATTAACCCCTTTACTCTACTAGGAATACTAGCTAGTGTCTGTATAGGTTGTGTTTATACTCTACACCGCTTGTGGTAGAGTGCGGACATATGTAAGACCCAGAATGGCACATTTTTTATTATGTTCATCGATTCCGAATTATTTTCTAAATCAATCTAAGCTTGTCTGTCCGTCTGTCCATGTATTTTTGTGTTCAAGCTGCAGATCGCAATGTTTGAGGTATTTCGCTGAAATTTTGTACCCAAGGACAAACGCTATTGAAAATGATTCGAATCGGTCCACTTTCTTTACATAAAATGCCCTATTCTGAAAAGTTATTACATGGCAGAGAATTTTAATTTTAAAAATTTCTCGGCAAAAGTGACTAAACAGTAGTATTTCGGCATTCGAAATTGGTGTGAAAAATTTGTACCGGCTGGGGCAATTTTTTGAAGACCCTCTCATACAACTGTTTCTGCGGAAACTAAAGCTTTATATAGTAAAAAGGTCGAATTTCCAATATTTCACGGTGAAAATTGGCTCACAATAGCAAATAGTAAGAAAGAAATCTACCTTACCAAATTTTGACTACGTAGGTCTATGTTTTGGATATCACTACATATAAGGATTTCCATGAAACGTAAAGCCTTACGTGCCAAAAATGGCTAATTGCTAACTTTTTTGTAATGAAAATTTGCTCATAATAGTTATTAAATAAAAAAATTAAATGGACCTAATTTGAACGACATGGTTCTATTTCCACCCCCACTCAATGAAAGATATCTCATGATATCTTAATAGTTTATAGGAGCATTTCAGGAGAAAAAAGTAACGATAGGGCATTTGAATCACATAGGCCTATTTTGGTGTGGTGCCCCACTTATATAAGCGCTATCACGAAACGCAAACTTTTATATGAAGAGAAAATCTAGCCTCCAAATATGCGAACTTTTATAAGAATTGTGGCTTTGCATGAAACTTATGTGTATTTTTTGGTGAACTATTACCAAAACGTGATAAAAAACATAATCAAAATTTTGGCGACTATTTTTGAAAAAATCGATAATATAAAGAAAAGTTTCGAAAAAAGAAATTTGATTAAGAAATACTTGAGATCCCCCTGAGTGGACGAGTAGGCAAGAGTCTCGATTAGCAACTCAATGGTCGTGGGTTCAAATCTCAACTGCGGTAGAGTTTTCAATAAAGCCGAAAGCCTTAGATGCTAGGTGCTTTAAGACTTTAGTCTTAGAATCGATTCTCTGGCTAAATTTATAATAATAGCAATAATAATAATAAGAAATACTTGAATAAAATAATAAAGCAAATAATTGAAATGAGAACTACTCTTGCAAGAAAATGAAAAGCTTTTCATCAAATAGTATTTTTTATATCCATCAGCGAAGGACGAGTAGTCAATTCACTTCGCCAAAGTGCTTGTGACGCCTAAAAGGAAGCGTTAGAGATTCTACATAGTATACACATTTCTCATCTACAGCAAATTGAGAATTATTTTAAGCATGACCGTTCATTTGCCCTCTGGGCGTCTGTCCGTCTTTGTAGTGACTTTTGTAAACTTTCTCCTGGCCGCAAAAATGAAACACACGTCTTCAAATTTGGCAGAAACATTGTGCACGTGGGGCGGCAATGCAAATGGGCCAAATCGCTAGAAGCACACGCGTACAGTACCGGGTGAACTGACAACACTTCTGATTTTCAAATTGATTTTTTACTCACTACACATAAACTACAGCAGATAAATGTACAAGAATTTGCACTTACTATTTATAAGTAATGGGTGTGCAAAAATGGGAACACCAACGACCTAATATTATAGTGGAAGTCAAAATTTTATTTTTTTAATACCTTTAAAATGCACAAAAGCAAGCTTCAAAAACCCCATAAAGTATATAAATTCTTGGCTGGTTCCAAATTCAGAATACACCTTTTGTTCATCTGTCCATCTATCCATTTGCAAGCCGTGTACACATTCTTCCGTTCGTAAAAAAGAAGATATAGCCTACAAAACGTTTTGTATGGGATTAAACGCTCCTATAAAGCGCCTATTGTACGTTTTGTATGGGATCAAAATGCCCTTAAAATAGGTCTATTGCACGTTCACATAAGACTCATTTTATACACCAGACGTAGCGCCTTCTGATTATCACTTGTTCAGATTGATGCATCATGGCTTGGTTGGCACGCAGTTTCGAAATGTTGAAGAAGTGCGAATGTGGGTCAAAGCAATATCGCTTATTCGACACGACGCTGCCATGTTGCCAAAAAGATGGGAAAAATTTTCAGAAAATTATAGAAAACGTTTTGATTAATATAAGTTGTGCCAGTTAGTGTGTTTGTAAACTGAGTACTGATTTTATCAATAACGATAAAAATATAGGCCGAGATGGTCCAAATTCGGTACAATTAACTTTTTTATTGTAAATTATTACTATGATATAATTTTCATCGTGAAGCATTGAAAATGAAATGAGACCTTTTTCTCATATGAGAGGGGGTTCAAAAATTGCCCCAAAAATCCGACTCTGCTTAGCCACTTTTGCCGAGAAATTTTTAAAAATCACAATTTTTTTCCATATAACGAGCTTTTAGAATGCGATGTTATATGAGAAGTGGTAGAAAAAAAGACGATTTTTTTCAGAGATGGGGCGAACAATACGCCCTACATTTGACAGAGTCAATTAAAAAATGAATGCGATTTATTTTTGCAGTTTTTATTTTCCCAAAAATGAATTTTATAAAATAATTTTGTATATATATTTAATTTTTTTTTACTTTTCATAAAATATTTTTGCATTCTTTTTCTTCTTTTCGTTTCTTTGTTTTTTACACTTTTTTTCTTCGCACTAGTTACGCATTTTCAGCTTTCTCTCGAAAGCACGATATTGTTGTTGTTCAACATTGACCGTTATTTTTCTTTTTTGGATTATTTGTACCTTGCGGCACCATATGAACCATGACTTTCATGGTACCTGGCTCCTGTTTTAGGGCTGTGTCGAATGCGCAAAGCGCATCCTCAATATCCATGTGATGAGTTATCATTTTTAATAAATCGTATTTACTTTTAGCTGCTATCGCTATGGCTGGTGGGTAACTTGAAAATAAAAATATATATACATTTTTTTACTCTACACTTACTATATAGAAATATTTATTTATACACTCACTCGTTGCAATAGCGGAAGTTAGATGTTATCTGTACTTCTCGCATCACATCATCCATTAGAGGGAAATCGGTAAAATTACCTGAAGCCGTGCCCATCAAACAACAAGTACCGCCCCAACCAGTTGACTATATTTGGAGAATTTAATAAAAACATTATACTCAAAATATGTATATACGTAAATACATATATATGTATATATATCTGTGGCTTTGCATGCTTACCCGAATAGCTAATTTGAATGTGTCTTGCGAGCCGTGACAATCAAATACTTTATCCGGTATGCATCCCATGCTATCATGAATTTTTTTAGCGGTTTTATTTAAATCTTTTCCGTCGCTTTCATCCAATGCCAAAATCATATTGCCGAATCCTTCGGCCATCTCTAAACGATCTTTGTTCTTGTCAACCATCATAACTTTCGAAGCTCCGATAGTTTGGCAAACAATCGATGTAGCTAAACCGATCGGACCGCTTCCCACGATTAGCACATTTGAATTCAGTTTGACTTTAGCTCTGCGAGCGCCAGCTACGCCTACGTTCAATGACTCGCAGAGAGCTCCCTCTTCCATTGTAAGGTGATCGGGTAATTTATGGCACATATCAGCATCTTGTTTGAAATAACGTTGAAGTAAACCGTCTGCAGGTGGGCACGAATGGAACTTCATAAATGGGCATAAATTATATCTGCCCTGGCGACACACCTGACAATTGCGGCAAAACTTGCCTGGCTCAATTGCCACCCGATCTCCAACTTTAAGTTCTTTTACATCTTTGCCTATTTCACACACAACGCCCGATGCTTCATGTCCCAAAACTACCGGGTCCTTTACAACATCGACGCCCATGCCTCCTGCTTGCCAAAAGTGAACATCTGTACCGCAAATGCCAACGCAATCTATAGCCAATAAAACCTCTTAAGAAAATAAAAATGTTGCGCAAATATCAGAGACGTTGCATGATTTTTGAAAAGCAAAAAAAAAAAAAAATTCAAAATTACCTTTTGGTTCAATTTTCGGTATGGGTTTCGTTTCCAGCTTCAAATCTTGTTTTGCATGAAGTACAACGGCCAAATTCTCCTGTTTATCTCCTTTACCTTTGTCCGATTTATTGTTTTTACCTTGTTTATTAGCTTTTTTTTTATTTTTATTATTTGCGCTAAAGTTCCTTTGAAAATTTGAAAACAACTTGAGACAGTTTTCAAAATTTTTCGCGGAGAATCGAGTCAGCATAATTAAAAAACAAAAGTTATGCGTATATATATATATATGATAAAAAAGTAAAAAAAAAAAAAAAAGAAGAAACAAAAATTTTCAAAAAAGAATTCGGAAATTTAGTGAAGACGAACTTTAATCAAATATATTATCATATATCAATTTGAAAATACTTGATTTAAATTCGAAGAAGAAAATCGTAGACTACTTACGAGGCTACGAAACGAAATCTAAGACAAGTGCTTTTTCACAACAACAAGTTAAAAAAATTGGTTCATTGGCCTTGTTATTAAATTTAATTTCTCCATTCAGTTATAGAGAATTAAAATTCAAATAGAGACATACGATCTCTTAATTGCAGTGCAAGCGTCAGCGCTGAGCAGTTTGTTGAACTGACCAGAAGATCATTAATTTAATTATGATTTGCTTTGATTACTTGCATGACAGGCGCCTTCACTATCCATCAAGGGACGGAAGATGTCTACTTGATGCGGGAGTTTATTTTTACCAGAAACGTATACATATATGTATATACTTTCTATGGCCTTAAATGGTAGAGGGAACAAATTCAGGTATAGTATATTGAAGCTTGTCACTGCTGATGAATTCATGTACTGTTTTGGAAAGTGTGATAAACTTTCTGCACACTACACTGCCTGTGGTACAAGGGCATATTGTACTTGTGCGGATGTTTCCAAGACCCAGAAGAACTTGAAATAGAATCACGTTCACAATCGAACTAAGCTTGTCTGTCCGTCTTGTTTTTTTGTGTCCAACCTGCTGAAATATTTTGGTCCCAAAAACGAATCATATTGAAAGTGGTTCGGATCGATCCCTTGCCAATTCAATACAGTACATTAGGCTGGTGTACGGTATTGAATAGTGGTCCGTGACTCACTATCACTTGTTTTTAATTGAAAACGAGTATAATCTAGAATTATCTTTACAAATACCGCAAAAGTTTCTCAATCGATATATAAAATTTTTTAAATATTTCGATGAAATTTGTTGCACTGGCGTGTTTTGACACAAGACCATTATAGTTGGTCAGAGCCGACTAATAAATACTCTACACCACTTGTAATGAAAGGAATATTAAATATATGCGGATAGTTATAATACTCAGAAGGATTTGACATGGGTCCACGTTTCATTATAGCGATCAATTGAGAATCATTTTATGATTCGATCTATGCTTGTCTGTCCACGTATTCATGTTCAATGTACAGGTCGCCATTTTCGAGTTCTATTGATGGAATTCGGTTCACTAACGTGTTTCGTCCAAAAGACAAACGCTATTGAAAATGATTCGGACCGGACCACTTTTTCGATCAATCATTAGGAGAAAATATATTGTAATTTTTAGATTTGCGCGACAAAAATCGTTTAGCAATAGCATTTCGGCATTTCAAGTGGTTGCGAAAATTTTGGATCTGATAGGGCTATTTTTTGAACCCCTTGTTATAGGGTTATAAAGCCCAATTTTCAATACTTCTTGAGGAAAATTTGTTCATAACCGTAATTTAAGATAAGAATTAATCTTATCGAATTCGAACGCGTAGGTCTACTCTTTTAGGTCCCAAAACATGCAATCGTTCATTATGAAAAATACGCCTCTTTTTTTTACAAAGATCAAATTTGTAATATTTTATAATGAAAATTTGTCCGTAGTAGATGGACTATAACGAATTTGGATCTCAAAGATCTGTTTTTTAGATCGCACCGAATATAGGGGCTTCTATGAAAGCAAGCCCATCTACGGCGATAAAAACTAAGTTGTAACTTGCTATTTAGACCACGATGACGTTCAAGCATCTTCCTATACAACGGTTTTCATGAAAATTATACATTTACATACAAAAATGTGTACTATTAGTTAAGCGACAAGGTTTACGGTACCCAATAATCACTCTTGCCCAACTACACCATCCCTATTTGTTTTCAAAGGGTGTAGAGTATCTAATGGTCGCATTTATTTGTTGTAAATTTGAACATGACTTTTTGTTTTAAATGATAAAGACAAATCTGCAAAGATATTTTTATTTTTATTATTAACAATAAAAATATTTTAGAAAATACATGCAGTTAGTTCACTTAAAACTAGTGGTTACCAAGGAAGCTTAAGCTTATCGTCGCTCTGAATGTGAATGCCTATTGCGTCTTTATTAGATTTTTCAGCGAAAACAAAGAAAGAAAATTATACCCATCACCGTGATCCTAAAAAAAAGTAAATGAATTTTCATATTCTATAACCATAGATGAAATAGAAATGCAGACTATCAACGTTCTGGAAAATTATACAGAAACACAATCTTCCACAACATGAGATCCTAAGGGCATCATATTATAATAAGATGCAGTATGAGGATATCTAAACACAAAACACATGCTTACAGATTTCTTAAATAAGGGGTAGATAAGCACTGCAAATGCATGGAAACTCTAGGTATTTTCAATGCCCTGCACATACAACCTGTCCGCTGAAAAGCAAACTTACTGTATTCCTTTTCGTATATTTTCGAAGTGTCTGGTCTACAATTATTCTTAAATCCGTACGAATGTCAGGCTTTTCTTGTAAAAGTTCGGAGCTTTTCGCTAATAACATTTTTGAGTATCATTCTTCTAGACTTTCCAAACTTCATTACGTGTAGTCATTTAAGGTTCGAATAGTACTTATAGTATTTCATGCGTCAAGCTGGACTACAGGTTCTCACTAAATCCTCAAATTATTCGTTACACCGACAAGCGTCTGGGATACGAAAATCTCAGCTATTAATTTTTCTGTTATTTCGAAAATAATGTGACTTCTTCCTTTCGTTTTCAAAATATAATCTAACTTCTTGTTGTTCATGTTTTTTTCGAATTCCAATGCGGCACTCTCGACAATCGATTGCTATGTGTTAGCAAGTGCTACAATATTCGCTTCAAACCCATGCATAGACGCAATATCAAATGAGGGAATTCACGAAAGGGATATGAAACTATTCACTTAGATATTTCTTATAATTACAACCAACCACCTGAGATATTGAATTATAGCCTTTTTTCTTTAAAATATCCACCAATTCCCGCTTAATTTTGTTTACTACGGGTGGCCCATGGTAAATAAACGAAGTGTACAATTGTAAGTACGATGCACCAGCTTCTAGTTTTTCAAAAGCATCTTCGCCTGTCGCAATACCTCCTACGCCAATTATAGGTATTTTTCCCCCGGTTTGATAATATATTTGTGCCACTAAACGGGTAGATTTCGAACGAAGAGGTGCACCGCTGAGTCCGCCATTTTCTAAGGCAAGCTGGGAATCTTTAAGATTTTGCCGTGACACCGTTGTATTTGATATAATTAAGCCATCGACCTTACACGATTTCTTGTTGACCACCGCCACTATATCTTTAATATCCTGTTTTGTTAAGTCTGGTGCTAATTTTAGCAGAATCGGTACGCTATTGTTCACCGATAATTGATTGCGTGCTTGTATCACAGCTTCAAGTAACTGTTGCAAGTCGTTCTTTCCTTGCAGATCGCGCAATCCTGGCGTATTTGGACTGCTTACATTAACAACAAGATAATCCGCAATTGGACCAAACATTTGTACTCCCTTCACATAATCCTGCTTAGCCGAGGTGGAGTTTTTATTTTTACCCAAATTAACTCCTAAAATGCTCGAAAATTGTCCCGATTCTCTAACAGCTTTCAAGCGTTCGTACACACACACATGGCCTTCGCTATTGAAACCGTAACGATTAATAATGGCCTCATCGGCCACTAAACGAAAAACACGCGGTTGCGGCTGTCCCGGTTGTGGTTCTGGAGTAACGGAACCAATTTCTATAAAGCCAAATCCAAGTTGAGATAAACCTTCTACTGCTTCCGCATGTTTATCGAAACCGGCTGCAATACCGATTGGGTTTTTTAACGTTGAGCCAAAGAAATTACATTTCTAAAAGAGAAAGTTTTAATCATTTTTTTAAATACTGAATCCTTGCTGATTTACCAAAATTCCATCATCCGTTCTAGATTGGCCGAGCAATTTGTTCTTACATGCCCAAACGGCCACTTTATGACTGAACTCGGGTGGTAATAGACGCGTCGCTGGCATTAGAATCTCTTCATAAAATTTTTCATTACTTTGGTTGATGCATAGCGCGGAAAATATACAACCACCGCCAAGTGTTACGAAAGTTAAGGATTTTAATTTGTTCTGCAAAAAGATATAACCAACTATTTTGCTGTATTCAAGTATACTAGAAAAAGACGTTTACCAAAGCTTTAGAAGTTTGAAGAGCCATGAAAAAAGAAGAAATTAAAAAAAAATAAATAAATTTTACAAGAAAATATTTGCACGTATATACGGGAATTAGTTAAAATTTTGTAATTTATTCACTTTATTTTTTGCCATTTTACATGGTCTGTTAAAACCGTTGTTATTATATTATGGAGCACTTGTTTTAAAAGGAAGAAGAAGGCATTATTTTAATGAACATGCTTTCAAATAAATCACATGGTAAAAAATTCACATAATGTTTTTTGTTTAATGACTTCTTCTTCTTAAATGTACAGCGAGTTAAAAACAGATGATTCACCGCGTTGTAAAAAAAAGGCACAGTGTAAACACAAAGTTCTATATCTAGTTTAACATAGTCCTCATGACTGAAGAATGAGGGTATATTCGTTTAGTGAAAACGTTTGCAATGCCTAAAAGGAAGCTCCAGAGATCCCACAAAGTATATATATTCTCGATCAGCATCAAATTCGGAATCGATTTAGGCATGGCCGGATGTCCATTTGTGCAATGCCTGTTGTAAACATTCTCCTAGCCGCAAAAATCGGTATCGATCTGCAATGCCACATAGATTAAGAGCACATCTGTTTTTGAAAAGGAATAAAAAATTGGTTTTTTTGCTTATTATACGAAAACTGTAAGAGATAAATCTGCAAAAATTGAAACGTATATTTTATGGGAAATGCTGCAATGCGTGTGGGAAAATGGAAAAATTCAGCCATGTCTACTTATTATTATAGTATAAAAAAATTTATTTTCTTTTTTCAAATAGAAAAGAGGTTCAAAAATTCCGTGGTCTACTTATTATTATAGTATATAAAAATTTAATTTCCTTTTTCAAATAGAAAAGAGTTTCAAAAATTCCGTGAAGTACATGAAGGCTTGATGAATTTCAAATTGGAATGCAATTTTTTTTGCTTTAGCTTATCAAGCACATCATTGCTGCCATATGTGGGGGTTTTTATGAAAATCGAAGCTACTTTTTTATATTAATTGATATGATAAAAACTTGTCCGCAATAAATGGACCAAATTTGAACTAGATGGGTGTATTTCTTGGATTCCATCCCTTATAAGAGTACTCTTGAAAAGTAAGCTGTTTAGAAAAAAATGTAATTATTAATATTTTATGATTAGTCCACAGCAGCAATCTAGAGAATTTGGATCAAACAGTACTATTTTTTAGAACCTAACATATATAGAGGTTATCATGAAACGCAAGCTTTTAGGTCCAGAGAGAATCTAATTTCTAGTTTTCTATGAAGAAAGACTGAAAGGAGGGACAACGATTAACATTTTTAAAAGTTTGCAAATTGTGAATCACGTCATATGATGTTCCGGACATCCTCCAATATCGGGCTCTCATAAAAAGTATGTCTTTGCATGAAATTAATTTTTAATTTTTGGTGTGTGGTTATCACTGAATAATTGGGCTAGTGATGTAGGGCATGTCATGATCCATCTTAGGCAAAGTGATGAATTTGACTACCCTTGCCCTTGCCCTTGCCCTAGCTTCAGAAACAGATAATATATTTAAGGAAGCAAATAAATGCACTGAAAATACTGAAAAACTATAATAATTATTTATTATTGTGGATATTCACCTAACGCTGGCTTGTTATGGACGCCCCGTCGCCAACGAATTTCGACAAAGGCGACAATTCGAAATTAATGTCGTCTACACGATAGGTCTTATTAAGTGAGTCTTGCGTTCGTTAGCTACCGGCTTGACCTGTTCTGAAGTATTTCGAGAGTGTCTAATAGCGGAAAAAGAATGGATAAATTCTCTTGCCAAAATAGCAGCAAGCGAAATGTTTTTTGTTGTATGCTATACTTTTCTGGTCGTATGCTATACTTTTCTGGTTGTATACTATACTTTTCTGGTTTTATACGATAATGCTTTTTGCTTTATTTACTATGTAATGGAATTTTTTTTTATTTGCGTAAACCATCAATTTTTTTTTTTTTTGTACAATTTATTTAATCTATTTATTTATAATATATTATTATTAACATTTTCTGGTTGTAAGTGAACCATTACCTTCAAAGTACCATCTGCTTGGAGTTTCGCAGTTTCAAAAGCAAGAGATATTTGCTCCAACGGGAAGTGATGTGATATAATGGCTGGTAAACTTAGTTCAAAGGAAGCAGCCATAGCCAAAGCTATAGGATAACTGTGATATGATAACTGTAATGAGAAAGCTAAACCTACGGATTCGTTAGTGTTTTACGTACTCATTGCGATAATTAACAACACCCAAAATATCGACTTCTCTGGACATGGCGTCTATTAAAGGTAATACAATTTTGCCATCAGGTACTCCTACCAAAGTGCACATACCTCCCGGACGGGTTGTCTAAAAATGAGAATATTACTAACAAAAAATGTATTTAAACACTGGGTATCAAGCTTACGTAAATAGCTAACTTCAACGACTCTATGGTTCCCACACAATCGAAGCATTTGTCGGGTATGCAGCCCATAGTTGCATGTATACTTTGAGCTAAATCCTTTGGATTGCAATTTTCGTTCAGATGCAAAGTGTCGGCGCCAAAACTTTTAGCAATTTCTAAACGATCCTTCTTCTTGTCGACTATTAAAACTTTTGAAGCTCCGATCGATGTGGCAGTTGCTAAAGTTGTCAAGCCGATGGGACCACAACCCAAAATTAATACTTCGGATCCTAAGCCAACTTTAGCACGTCGACAACTAGCCATACCAACGGCTAAAGGTTCTAGTAGAGCACCCTCTTCCATAGTGACATGATCGGGTAATTTATAGCATA